TCTAAATTAAAAGCTAAATAATAGGAAAAAAAAAAAAGAGAAATAGTTTTCCTGTTTCATTTTTTCCAACTGATACAATAGCATTTAGGTCTGATGGAGTGTGGTCATATCAGGTGCATGAATTACTTTATATTTGAGAAATTTTGGAAACAATTTTGTATTATGCTGTGATGACTGAACTTTTAGGATAGTTTGGGTTGGTTTTTTCTTAGTATGAGTTTAAAAATTCTCTAAATAGGGGCCAGTGCGGTGGTGCAAGTGGTTAAGGTCCTCGCCTTGCACCTCCGGGATCCCATATGGACACTGGTTCTACTCCCAGCATCCCTGCTTCCCTTCCAGCTCCCCGCCTGTGGCCCAGGAAAGCAGTCGAGGACAGCCCAAAGCTTTGGGACACTGCACCCACGTGGGAGACCTGAAAAGGCTCCTGGCTTCGGATTGGCTCAGCTCCAGCCGTTGCGGCCACCTGAGGAGTGAATCATGGGACGGAAGATCTTCCTCTCTGTCTCTCCTCTCTGTATATATCTGCCTTTCCAATAAAAATAAAATCTTAAAAAAAATTCTCTAAATAAATGATTATTCTTCACTATCATTCCGAACAATACACTATTCCCTATGGGCTTTTATGAAGTGCCCACTTAGTGCAAGGGCACTGTTCCAGCATTTTACTAGCACCAATATTTTTACTCTTTCACACACACAACTTTATGAGGTAAGTACTCACAATTTTCATTTCACTTGATTAAGTATTTTGTTTAAGGTGGCACAGATGGGACACAGTTAAACTGTCTATTATTCAGGCAACCTTCCATTTACTTATATTATCTGATTTTTATTTTAAAGAACAGAAGAGATTGATGAAAAGAATATAAAACCAGAGGCAGAAGACCCAAGTCACATCTAAGCAATGCAGTTCTGAACAAGGTACAGTGTCATAAATTTTTTTCTTAAAGCGAGAATGAAAATACTAACTAAATAATATAAACAAACAAATAAAGAAATTAAAGCACCTACTACATACAAGTTTCGAACCAAATAAGTTAAAGCTTGGATTGGTGCCTGATACATTGTAAACTTTCTACATATTTCTTGCTTGATTATTGCTATTATTTAACCTTCCCATGTCAAAATACCTAAAATTGTTACAAATAGTCAATGAAGATAGTTTACTCTGGCACAGTGCTTCCTCAATACTTAATAAGTTGAGTCACAACCAAAAATTAAAAAAAAAAAAAACAAGGAACATGCAATTGGTCTGTTGGGACATGGTTAAGACACTCACATTACCAATTACATTGTCTATGTTTGAATCCCAGCTTAGGTCCCAATTCTGGCTTTCTGCTAACGTGCACCCTGGAAGACAGAGGTGGTAGCTCAAGTATTTGGATCACTATCACCCATGCATGAGAACTGGGTTGAGGTCTCCATTGCTGGATTTTTCTGGTGCAGCCCTGGCCATCGAATACATTGAGGGAATGGACTGGCAAGTAACAGTTTTCGCTCCACTCTCTCATAAATAAATTTTTTAAATTATTTCAAAAAGAAAGACTTAAAAAGTACTGGGATGACATCAGGCAACCATTCCGCAATCTCAGGTATTGAGGCATTGGAATGCTGGGAGCTGATTCTCTCCTTCTTTTTCTACTTCCCCTAGATACAGGAAGAAGAAAAATAAAATTTGGAAACAATGGTCTCACCTAGTTTTTCCTAATCCTTGACCCTTCCCTTCCTAGTTGGTTGTCCACATGGCATGCATCCTTCTCAACTATCTATACATCATCAAAAATAAAAGTAACATAAGAGTAAAATTTCACTGGCATTTTGGTGGGATGGTGGCATTTTGGTGGGGTAGATTGGTTTGTTACATGGCCAACTTAATGTAATATGCATAAGATGTCCTTCCTTTTGTGAGGTTTCCTCCATTATTTCTTTTATCAGAGTTTTATAATTTTCATATATATAATATTGACTGTTTTTCAGCTTTCAAAAAGCAATGAAACCCACCATTTTAAGCAGCATGGATGGCACTGGAGGACAAACAGTACCACATGTTCTCACTAACTGGTAGAAGCAGAAAAGGTGATCATGTAGAAATAGAGAATAGAATAGAGGTCAGTAGAGACCACAAGTTGGAAGACTGGAGATGATAGTGACACTGTATGTAATGGGTGTTCAGACAGGGAGGAAGTATTTCTAATAGCATAAGAGCAAAGGTATAGTGTTCAACAATTAATTATGCATTTCAAAATAGCTAGAGGTACAAAGATCACAAAGTTTCACAGTTCACAGGTACACCGAAATGGTATATTTGGAAAGATGGAAATGCCAATTATTCTGATTCAATGATTAGATACTGTATACATGCATTGAATTATTACATTGTACCCAACAAATGAGTACACATAAAATATATAGATCAAAAGTACAAATGCTTAAAAATGTGGGGCGGAGGAGAATGTGGTGTGATGGTTCAGTGGTTAAATCCTCACCTTGCAGGCCCTTGGATCCCATGTGGGTGCCAGTTCATATCCCGGTTACTCCATTTCCCATCCAACTCCCTGCTTGTGGCCTGGGAAAGCAGTGGAGGATGGCCCAAAGCCCTGGGACCCTGCACCCACGTAGGAGACCCTGAAAAATCTCCTGGCTTTGGACCAGCTCAACTTCAGCCATTGTAACCAATTGGAGAGTAAACCAGCAGACAAAAGATTTTACTCTCTGTTTCTGCTTCTCTCTGTAAATCTTACTTTCCAATGATAATAAATAAACCCTTAAAAAATTTGGAGACAGGTGGGCATTTGGTACAGTGGTTAAGATTGCACATGGGATGTCCATATCTCACACTGGAATCTCTGGGTTTGACCAGTTCCACTCTCAGTTTCCGCAATTTGCTCAAGTGCACTCTGTGATTCAACAAGTGATGTCTTCAGTCATTTGATTCCTTCCCCACAATGTGGGAGATTCAAATTGAATTCCCAGCTTCTTGCTTTGACACAACCTCAGCTGTGGTGGACATTTGGAATTGAAGCATCAGATGTAAAATATCTTCATTTTTTTGTCTTTTTCTATCTTTCAAATAAAATAATAAGGAAAATTTTAAAGAAATAAGAAAGATAAGAATATTCAGGGTGCAAGATAATCTAGTTAGACATAAGTTCTGGAAACTCATGAAATGTTTTTTGAAACAGTTGTCTTTTGATTTGAATGAAGAATTTAATATCCAATGCCAGAAAACTTTATATTTTAGAAGATTTATTTCTGTATCTTATGATTGGGCCTGCAATCCATTTTGATTAAATTTTTGTATATTTTATGAGATAATGTCCAACTTCATTCTTATGAATGTCAATATCTAGTTTCCCCAGCACCATTTTTGAAGAGATTATTCTTTTCCTTAATAAGTAGTTTTGGCACATCTGCTAAAGAACATTAAGGGTAAATCAAATCAAGGGGCCAAAAGTTAAGATTACTTATAAAGAAAAGGAAAACCTGCTTAAAGCAGCATGTGAAGACTCACAGTCCTACCTCAGGAAGACTAACTAGGAAGAGTATTTTAGTTTCAAGTCTAGAACCTAGAGAGGATACAGGTGCCACTGACAGAAACATCCCCCTGAATTGGAACTCTAGTTTAAGTCCCAGCTTTTCTGTGTGGGATCCAGCTCCCTGCTAATGTGTCAGGGAAAGCATTTAAAAATAACTCAAGTGCTTGGGTCCTTGCCACCCAGATGGGCATCCCAGAAGAACGTGCAGGCTCCTTGATTCAGCTGGGCTAAAAAGTTGCAGGCAGTTGGGGGGTGAACCAGATGATGGAAACTCTCGCACTCTTACACACACACACACATTCACTCACTCGCTCTCACTTTCAAATAAATTATAAAAAAATTTAAAGTTGGACACACAGCAAAACAGTTGAATCTTACTAACTAAATGTCCCGTGGAAAGAAATAAGAAACAGAAACAATAATATCTATGTGGACAAAAGCATTCAAAACAATACCATTCACATGCAACACAGGGGAATATACATGGCCAAAAACACACATTAAAGTAACTAACACCCAGGGGAAATGAGAAACAGGATAAAGAGGACATAAAATAAAACAGGAGGAAGACCTGACTAAAAGCATTGATGAAGTATTGATTGAGTTATACTTTGTACTAGAAATCAAGAGAAAACAACACCTAAGTGATGAAAGCATTTGTGCAAATCTAAAAAAAAATCTAGATGCAACAGATGGCTCAAGAAATAAACACGGAGCAATGAAGACACACATTTTACATTTATTACGACCATTAACAAAATAAGACAGAAATAGCATATTTTCTAGAATAAAATGAATGCATCCCATAAGGTCTACTTATTGAATTTTAGCTACATGACTTAATGTGATATCAGGTATACTGAGACTGGCAAGAAGTGTAGGATTGTTTATTAGCAGAAACAAAGGGCATACTGTGTCATCAATAGATTATCCTAACACCAGAAATCTTTCCACGTGAGAGTTCTCAATCTAAGAATTGAGATCATTCTATAAGGAAATATGATTTTTGGAACTCTTGTCTAAGACATTACATATTATACAGTCACCAAGCAGGAATTCAGCATTGATATTTGCATTCTAGCTTAAGATTTACACTTTTTACTCCTTATCATTAAAATATATGATCATGCAATTTAGTTTTCTATGCATTCACATACTGAAATTATCTTTTATAAATGTAAAATTGAACTTGATTATAGCAACAAAGAAATTACCAATACATACATAACACATAATGATGTTACCAATGCATAATGATTAACAACACATAATGAAAGTACCAAAACATGATATGAGAGAGAGAAAAAGAAAGAATAATTTCCAATCTACATAGAATGCAGGAACAAGTATTTGCCATGTAGTGACATCAATCAGCTTTCTGTGTCTGCTTCACTCTTTCCAAATTAAAAACTAGATCCAGCTAGTTTTCCCTGTAAGTTCCATGGCAAGACTGCATAACTAACACTAAGGGTTGTGCATTTTTGTCTTTACTGCTCTCAACACAGAATTCCATTTGCTATTCATTTGCTCCAACTGCTCTCTTTTGAATTTGTCTTGAAAAGAGCAATGGTTATCTTCATCCTCTGTCTCAGAGATGATTTCCATCTTCTGGATGATGAGCTTAATGAGCTCGTGCTGTTTTTCCAAGAGAGAGGTTAGATCCTTTAGCCTGAAAGAACAGACACATTTCAGGGATTTATTTTCAGTTTCTCTTCTAGTTTCGGTAATTTTCCCAAGTTATTCTATCAATTCGGTGCTAATTTCTTTTTGTTTCCAGTTTACATATAATAAACTATTTCACAGAAAGAATAAACAAGTTTTCTAGGATCAGAGGTTTAGTAAATAGTTGAATAGAAGTTTAAACTCAGGTTAACTAGCTTCATGCTCTCATACTTAAACAATATCCACTACCTGATTTTTCCAGGGATCCTAAAAATCTTTCAGAATTTGTATTATGAATTCAGACAGTTCATGAAGAATGAACTTGATGATAATGACCCCAGAAGGAAGCACATCATCACCTTAATTTCATTCATTTAGTCTTAGGAAGGCAAACCAACTGGTCAATAACTGTATATATACATATATATGTGTGTGCTATTGAGTCTAAACTATATCCTATATTTCTCAATATACTGTAACGTCTGCCAATATAGTATGATTTAATGTACAATGTAAGCAACTAGATACAGTAAAATAATAATATTATATCATGCATCATTATTTAGGAATTTTAAATTTCTCAAACATAGATAGAAGGAAAACTATATACCGGTATTTCTGCTTCAGTATTTCTATTTCTAAACATTTATCAGTATTTGGCACTTCTTGTCTGGTTTCTTTAATGCAAAAAATATATTGAAGTATACACTGTGGGATAAAACATAATAGTTACTCAAATTGAATTAAATACAGGAACTGTTTCTTGAGCATGTGCCAGCATTCAGTCATTAAGCCAGGTTCTCTAATGCAAACATCTCTTGCCACAGCCTTCAATGGGTTTACAATCAACTAGAGGAAAGAGATCTGTAAACAACCACAAAATGAAGTCATACATTTCATAAAAGAAATAATACATAGGCAGTTAATGGGACAGACGGTTGTTTAAAAGAGGGCTTAAACAGAATCATTTTTATAAATTCCCATGAAAGAAATGCTCATCCTAGGAGGTCATGCTGCAGGTAAGATTAGTTAATTTCTAAAATTGTTCTCTATCATTATTGAGCATAACTGAACCAATTAACATGTTACTTTAATCAAATTTTGCCTTAATTTATTTAAAAACAGTAAGTGGACTAGGAGAGACTCAAAGGCATATGTAAAAATGTTCAAGAAGGAAATAGTTCTGGTAGTGAGGGTAAGAGAATATGCTGATGTGCAAAGGCCACCTGGGAAACCAAATGGGCCAAATACAGAGACTGAGTGGACTTGAGAAAGGGAGCAAGGAGGATGGATGCCAAGGACAGCTCCTGGGTAATTAGCTTGCACAAGAAAAAGAACATTGATGACACGAACTGCAGTGAGAGACTTCAAAGAAGGATGGGATGTTTCTCACACTTTTCCTGTAGGAGATGCAGGAGGAGGTGAAATACTGGAGGAATGAAGCTTGGTTTTGAACATGCTAAATTGAAAGCAGGATGATACAGGTCCATGAATGTCAAGTAGGCACAAAAACATACATAGAGACATGGAATGCTGAACTAAAAAATTCACCTGTTGAACTCCAATCTTAAGTAAAAAAAATTCAGTCATATTAGGAATATGATTGAAATGGAATGTACAGATATTGTAGATTATGAGTTAGAATAAAGCCTAGCTGTTACCTAGGCTTTATCATTTTATGACTGTATAAGGGGAAAGTGTCCTGCCAAAAACTCATGAAGAACAGTCAGAGATGGAATAGCCCAGCATGATTCAGTTTAATGTTCAGTACTTCTGAGTCTTCATGTGTTCATTCTCTATTATCATACAATGGCCTTTGCTCCCTTTGTAGCTTTTTAATAGTGCAAGTGCCCCATGCAAGCATATGCATGCAGATGTGTCCTTTATCGTATGTTCTACACTCACACTTAGGCACACATATTTGCACAAAATAATATAGGTAGATATAAATAAATGTAAGTGACATATGCCTGGGGAAAAAAAAAAGTAAAACTGTACTTTAAAAAAGGCATTGAAATGGTATGTTTTATTCACTCACCCACCTGCTTTAATTGGACCATGATGTGTAGTTAACACAGATTCCATAGACAACACACCTGAAAGAGGACATTTTGTTTCTCCATCCCACTGCCTGTCACTTTCACATCATGGACTAATTCTATACATTTTTTTAGGCACAAATATTTATTTCTCACTAAAGTATCAGTCTAAAAGGCTACAAAAGGGCAAACTTAACAGCTACACAACACAACACATGGTTATCAAGTAGTATTAAGCTATTTATGTTATTTGCTAATTATACTTACTGCAAACATGCCCTCATATCTGGGTCTGTTGGGATACACGACGGTGGATTCTTGATCCACTTTGTGTAGGAACCAGACTGGTAGCTTTTTCTCTAAGCTGGTGTGAAGTTCCACCTAAAGTGCATTTTGAATTTATTGGCAAAGTCATTCATTAGTATCTGGGATTCATACACCACAAAGAGGCAATCATTAGCACAGTAAAATCAAAACTTGATTCCTATGTCCTGATTTATATATGAGTTAGGCTGGTCAGGTTTCCTTAGTTCCTAACTCTGCCAGCTATCCGTATCTTTGACAAGCTGATATCCACTGAACACATTCACCTGAAATCAGCAAGCATTTTGCTTAAAGAAGTGATTCACTTTAAGTCAACAAAATTTTGCTATTCAGGGTTTGTGATAGCATTGGAGATGTCACAAAGTAAAAGACAGTCCATAGAGCTGGTGTCATGTTATTGCAAAATATTTTCCACTGAAAAGTGTGAAGGACATGTACATACACCTAGGACAGCAGAGAGCGTAGAGAACTTCTTTGGAGGAATTCAAATATAAAAAGCAGTAAAAGAATGAGAACTAGCGAGTCCGACAGTATTTAACATGTTTTGAATGCTGTAATCTCAGGTAAAAACTGACTTTCTAAAAGATTCACTTATTTGAGAAGCACACTGGCAGAAAGAGAAATACACAGAGAGAAGTATCTTCCTCATAGTCTTCCCTCATAGCCTCAACAACGAGGCTGCGCCAAGCTGAAATCAGAAACCAGGAGCTCTCTCATGGTCTCCCACATGGGTGCAGATGCCCAAGCACTAAGGCCATTGTTCACTGCTTTTCTAGGTATATCAGCAGGGAGTTGGATCACCAGTAACGCAGTTGATCACCCCAGCATTCATATGGATACTAACATTGCAGGCAGCAGCTTTAACTGCTGCACCACAATATCAGCCCCAAACCAAATGCAATATAACTACCGAATATGCTGAGCATAACTTTGTACTTTCAAACATCTAACACTTTATTTACCTTTGCAATTACATTTAGTTTAATTCCATGTTGTTTTAAACAATTTTTTGTTGGCTGCGTTTATTTTTGATCCTTCTACAGTGCTTTGTTATTTTCATAATGAGATTTATATTCTTTTCCATATAGTGAGATTTGACTTCTAATTTAAGACTTCTTTTCAATAGATGAACATATAAGTCATTTAGAATTATGAATGGTGAGATGGTGAGAACTCCCCTGACCATGTTGCTTAGGAATTATATCCTACTAAACCCCAAATAACACACTCCCCATCTGGTTTCTATGCTATTTTGATTGTACTCACTATTAGTTAATGTAAGGTATATTAGTTCCAGTTTCAAGAATAACTTTGCATTTTTACAGTTTGTGTTAACAATGGCAGGTAGCTTTCTTTGCTTTTCTATAATAATTTTCTTATTCCTTTTTTCCCCCTTGACTCTTTGCCTTTTCTTTGCCATATATGTTTGTCAGTGGTCACAAGCTATTACTCATTTACTCAAATTTAATTGAAAAGAGATTTATTCAAACACAGTGTTTGTTGACAGATAAAGGGTATGGTGTACCTTAACCCTGTTCATTGACTACATAGGAGCTTCCAGATCGCTGCTCCTAAATACAGTCATGAGGGAAGCTGGCAAGAAAACCCCAAGTCCAGTGTGAGTCTGATGAGACCCATTGGAAAAACACTGGGTGTTCCATGCTGAAGAGTAAAATACACACTGTGGATCTGTCTTTCTAAACTGACAGGGATATAAACGGTTACAGACTATCCATTGTTGTCAGTAATGTGGTGTGAAGTGCAGATTCCAACATAAAGACTGGCATGATGGCTCAGTGGCTAAATTCTCAACTTGCATGCAGTGGATTTTGTATGGGTACCCACCCATTCATGTCCTAGCTGCTCCACTTCCCATCCAGCTCCCTGCCTGTGGCCTGGGAAAGCAGTGGAAGATGGGACCCTAAAAAGCCTTGAGATCCTACACCCATGAGGGCATCCCAGAAAAAACTCCTGTCTCTTGGCTTCAGATTAACTCAGCTCCGGCTGTTAAAGCCACTCAGGGAGTGAATCAGTGGACAGAAGATCTTTGTCTCTTCTTCTCTCTGTAAATCTGTTTTTCCAATAAATCAATCAATAAATCTTTTTTAAAGCAATCAAACAATTCCCAGATCCTCCAAATACAACTCCTGTAGGAAGCTTCAGTAGTTGTCATAATAAACACATCATTCCTGCTAATATGGGACCCGGGGAGGCAAGAGGTGATGATTTAAAGACCTGGGTCTCTGCCACCCACATGTAAGACCTGGATTGAATTGCAGGCTCCTGGAATTCAGCTTGGCTCAGTCCCAGCTGCTGTTCTAGAAAAGGAGAGAATGAACCAGAGGATAGGAGATATCTCCAGTTGGCTATCTCTGTCAAATCAATTACAATATTTATTTTTTTTTTAGGAAAACAATCAATTTGGGGAAAAATAAGAGAATAACTTTACAGTTTACTAGTCAACATTGTTGTTTTCTTTTTTTCTGAAAAAAAGAAGAGATTTATTTTATTTAGTTAAAAAGCAGATTACAGAGAGAGGAGCCTTAAATCTCCTGGTTTACTTCCTGTGTCTGTAACAGCTGGGAATGGGCCAGCCTGTATCCAGGAATCAGGACTTGATATTTTATAACATAAACGTTACACAGAGCATACAAACAGTACCAGGGTGTTACTCTTCAGTAGTGAGAACACATCTATTTAAATATTGTGTTTGCAGAAAATAAAGTGATTCTTATTTCCCTCCATCCCCAAGGGATTGAAGATGTTGTAGATCCAATAGATTTTAAATACACACCCACCTGCATAGCAATTCTCTTCAGTGATGCATGTTTTTGGACCTCTGCAATGTCACCAACTGCCAAACCAATCTAAAATAGGACACAATTTAAATCACTTTGCTTTATTATTCCAAGTGCAAATGCGTTTAAAGCCTGTCTTAGTCTATGAAGGCTGCTTTAACAAAATACCTCACACTAACTAATGTGTAAATAACATAAACATATTGAAGTTTAAAGCTCTGGAGACTGAGAATCTGAAGTCATAGAAAACAGATGTGGTTTCTGGTGAAGTCCAGTTCATACATAATGCCTTTTGTATTTTTTCACATGACAGAAAGCAAAAGGAACTCACAAACAAACTCACACCTCTTCCATATAGACACACGGTATTGTGCCCTGAATACAAGTATGGATACAAAATGGCCCCAAAAACCTATGTGCTAAAGGCTTGGTCCCTCAGGTAGCACCTGGTTCAGACTCAAATAATGGTAATAAGTTGAACAGATAGTGATTGAGTTGAATTTTGAAAGATTAGAAGGCAATAATTCTGGTTATAGGTTATTCCAGGAAAAAGAAGCATCTTTACAGATATTTCCCAAGTGGTACAATCATGGAAATGGTGGAAAGTTGGGCCAGAGCTAAGAACCAGAGCAGAGAGAATATTGTGTACCTTACTGGTAGGTATAGAATGCATTGAAGCTATCCCAAAGGGACAAATATTATATGTTCTCTTTGATATAAGGCAATCTTCATGCAAAATACAAGATCAATGGCCCTTTCAATACTATTTTTGCTACATGCCGGGGGGGTTGATATTTTTGTTTTTATTTTTATAATTATTTTTTTCATTTTCTCATAGGTTACATGGTAGCATCATTTACTTCAAGAACATTTGATTTTTTTTAATTCTTCAGCAACATATTGGTCATTTGGTAGCATGTTATTTAACCTCATGTTCTTATTAATTTTCTATTTTTCTTCCTGTTGCTGAGTTTGTGTTATTTGTGTTAAGGTTTTTCATTTAAGGGGATTTACAATAACTGTGTAATGGAGACTATTATATCCAGATCTGAAGATACAATGCAGTATGCATCTCTACTTTCAGATCAATGAAACTGTTAAATATATCCTGACAATTGGACGTTGGACTCTCTGCCATTGTCCACATCTACAATGTGAGAATACACTTAAATAGCAGAATGATGGACTTATGACTGATTATAAAGATCTAAACATTTGTAATGATATAGGGAAAATCAGTGGGGAGTGGGGAGCTTGGGGAAGAGGGCAAGGGAAATCCCAAAGCCTATGGAACTGTATCATAAAACAATTAATTAAAGAAATCATATCACTATATATTAATATATTTATATTTGTGTAATATATAATATACACACTATTATACTAAATATGTTATATAAAATATGTATGTATAAGTATTGTTTTTATATATTAAATATATATTATATAATTCCGTTTTATATATATATATATAATATTGAAGCTTTAGAAAAAAAATACTTATAAGAGCCACTGGTAAGCCAGCTATAGGATCGTAACATTACTGTGGGAACTATCTGTAGAAAATTAGAGAAACGAGATAAGGTAGAGACTCCTAAGGCTAGTGGAGCAATTTAGATGAGAAACCATCAGAGCACAAGCCAACTCAAAGCAGAGAAAAGGCAGACAGACTATTATGGAAAGGCCTGTAGGAAACAGAGGGGAGGAATCTAGAATGTCTCCCAATTGTCTGAATGAAGCAACTAGGCATTCCTGATGAGAGGACATAGTTCTTTTGAATGAAAGATGAAATCAGTCTTGGCTCCACTGGGCTTAGCTTTCCTCTAGAACATTTAGTAGAAATGCTCAGGTACTAGGTAGAGGTTGCAGATCAGTAGCATGGTGTTAACCTGAACTACTGCTAAGTCAGACTTCACTTCTGGCTAAATAACCAGCAAATTAGAAGAGAATAATTATTTGAATTGCATGCCATTCTTTATTATTCCTAGTAACATTCTTATTTTTTTCAGGTCATCAATATAAAGCATTAGAGCTGTATCAGATAAGTAGATCAAAATACTAAGAAGTCTTTATTACTTTTTAATTTCCAGAAATGATGCCTTATACAGTTTGGTTTGGAGTCACTCAGAAAAAGTGTGCTGAGTATATGCGTATATGCATAAAGCTTCATAACACCAATAATGGCTCTTCAGGGTGCTAGAGTTGAGATTTAGTTCTGTTGTTCTCAGTCAAGGTGCTGTGACTCCTGGAGACATAGACTGCTGGAGAGAATCCCTTGTGGAAAGACCCTCTTATGTATGCTGCCAAAGGTAGTAGGTGAGTACCTTAGATGACCTCTGCATGAGAAGTCCCTCCTTACCTAAATCTTTAGTTAATGAGAAATCAAGGGAGAGATAACACCTCATAGTAGTCTCCAAATGACTAACTTCTGACTTTCTATCCAACCCCAAAGTAAAACACACACACACACACACACACACACACACACACACACACACACACACACACAAAACAATAAAACTCACCTTCACCTTTAATGTCTCACTCAGGTTCCTAGTTCTTAATCGCATTTATCACTCCCACAGCATGCTATATGTATGTTTATTAGGTAACCACTTGACTAGCTGATAATTACATAAGGACTGAGCTGATGATCACATTAGGACTGAGTATAGGTCTGGTCAGTTACCCACTGTTCCCCAGAACTGCAACAGTACTCAACATTCAATAGCTTCTTAGTATTTGCCAAGCGAATGCATCTTTGCATCATCTAGGCCTCTAGCTTGGTATACTCCATTCATTAACCAAAGATTTAATGAATAGATTTTGTAATGGCTCCTCTCCTCACCCCACTGAAGAACAATTATCATTATTAAATATTTCAAATGAGCAATTAGAAAATGCAAGATTAATTACTTACAAGTAAATTCATGAGGACAATTGGGACTAACATTGTGAAGGCAATAAGTTCTGCAAAGGACAGAGCTGGATATGTCAATTCACTTCTCAAATAGGGCTCAAGGAAGGCATCTCGATAATTGATATCTCCTAACGTCATGCTGAAGGTCTGGATTATAGAAAGCAATGGCGTTTTGAAGGCATCCTGAGAAAAGACAAAGAAAAGACAAAGATGAAATGCAAAGCATGCATTTTGGGAAGATGTTTTCTGGAGAGCAAACTATAGTATATTAAAATTTCATTTTTAGGAAGATTTATTTATTTATTTGAAGGTCAGAGTTAAGAAAGGGATAGACACACAGTAAGAGGTCTTCCAGCTGCTGGTTCACTCCCCAAATGACCACAAAGGTTTGTGCTGAATCAATCCAAAACCAGAGGCAAGGAGCCTTTTCCAGTTCCTTCAACATGTGTGGCAGGAGTCTAAACATTTGAACAATCTTCTGCTTCTTTTCCCAAGCTGCTAGCAAGGAGTTGGGTATAAAGTGGTACATCTGGGACATGAACCAGTGCTGGTATGGGACGCCGGCACCTCAGATGGTGACAACTTGAAATGCCACAACGCCAGCCCCAAGAATTCACTTAAAAACTCACAGGCATCTAACTACTGAAATGCAATATTGTGGCAAAGTTATCCAAAAGGTATTTTCCCATGTATATAACACATCACTGTGCATTAAATGAGAATATTTCAAAGTGTTTGTGGAACAATGAAATTTAAATTATCTAATTTTTATGAAAAAACCTTTCAAATCCATGCATAATTTGTTCATAATTTGTAGTTTATACATATCATGAGAATATATATAGCTCAAGTGTTTTTGAATCTTTGAAACATTTGTATATTTATTTGGAAGACTGAGTGAACGACAAAGAGATCTCTCATCTTATGACACTCCTCAGTTGCCTGCATCAGCCAATGTAGAGCCGATCTAAAGCCAGGAACCCAGAACTTCATCCAGATCTCTTACATGGGTGGCAAAGACCCAAGCACTTGAGGCATCATCTGTTTCCCAGTATTCACAGTAACAAGAACCTGAATAGGAAGGGACAGGGAGGATTTCAGGACTCCAGTCCAGGTGCTGTGATGGGGCAGGTAGGGCTCCTGGGCATGCCCCAATGCCCGCGTCTGTAGTTCATTGGTTTACATCAAAATAAAGTCATACCCTCAATGTCATCACGTTCCACATACTTTTTGAAGTACATTCATAGAGAATCTCTTTATAGGAAAAGGTCATTTAGAAAGATGCTGTTTTTTCTACAATAAAATTCATTTAAGAGACAAACCAAATTTTAAAAAACTTCAAATATTCAAATATTATTAGGCTCCTATTAGTTTCTAGCCTGTATACTGAAGTATAAATAAAAATTTCTAATAGTAACAGTGAGAAAATGAACTGTTGGTGTGACTGCCTCACCTGTGTACTCAGGAGCACGTAAAAGCTGAGTCCAAAAGCCAAAAGGAGGAAAAGCAAGACCACTGTAGACCTCAGCAAAGTCTTCAGAATCACCTCTAACATCACAATGAAAATTCCACAATACTCAAATCTATAGGATTAAGAGCATAAAATAGTTACTCACTCTTGTATTTCCCTCAGTGACATTATGTATTATGCCTTAAATCAGGTACCAGGTTTCACAAACGAAGTGAATAAGACCAATCTTTTAGATATTACATCAATCAAAGTAGGGGAAAAACAACACAGCTTTTGAGTAACAAATAAAACATTTTAAAATGCTTTAAAAACAATTAGAAATAGAAATTATACGGTACATCAAGTAGAATTGCTCACACACCTACAGGCACCTATGCTAGGGCATTTGATTCTTGGAGTCTATTTTTTCTCTGCTATAATTTTATTCCCCTGCAACCTATGATTCATCCTGACTGTCTTAATACAAAGTAAATATTTTCCAAATAATATCATGAAAAACAAGAATAGCTAATGCTTTGTCTCTCAATTAGTCCTCACATTTAATCTAAGTGTGGGTCCTGACCCAGGCTAATTTAGCACTCAGGACATTTGTATCCTCTGGCCATGTTTTTGATTGTGACAAGTGAGGTGGAAAATGCACAACTGGTATCCATCAGGTGGAAGGCAGAGATGATGCAAACCATTTTCAAATGCCCAAGAGAGATTCTATTCTTCCCCAAAAGGAATTATCTGGCAGAAAATTGCAATCGTGTTAAGGCTAAGGAATTTTGAAGAACCAACCGGCTTCCTTAATAGGAGAACTACAGTTCCTCACAGACTGAGACTGGCTACTCTACTTTCCATCCACTTCCCTCCTCAAGACTTAGGAAAAGCAACAGAGAATGCTCTAGGTGCTTGGGCCTATACCATCAACATGGAAGACCTGGAAGGAGCGCCTGGCTCAGGCTTTGGCCCAGCTCAGCTCCCAGCTGTTTCAGCCATTTAGCAAGATGGCTAGTGGATGGGAACCTCTCTCTGTTTACTGCTCCCCTGGATGATTTAGAGTATTATGCTTGATGCAACCATCCAGTCCTAAACAGGCAAGTATCACCTTCTCCCTGATTTCAGAGCTAATATATAATGTATATGTATAGGAGCAAAATTTACATTTGAAATTTGATTATTGTTTATAACCCATTGACTCATCTCATAAGGAATAGTGTTTTTTTTTCTACTTCTATTTATTGGTATCTTTATTCAGTGGAATGTTAAGTTCAAGATTATAAAATAAACTGAAAATATGTCATTATAAAAATTGAAGGAAAATAGGAAGGAAAGGAAGAGTCAGGATAGAAATGACAGCAGGCAGGGAGGTAAGAGGGGAAGTATCATGCCCTTCAAACTGTCTATATAAAATACATGAAATTTATTTCCCTTAAGTAAATTAAAAAATTAAAAGTTTGCAAAGAATGTAGAAATCATTCAAGCCGGCTTTACCTTTGAAGATACATTAAGAAGTTCATCCAATATAAGAATATTGCAATTGCTCCACACTGCCACTGAGCATAGGCTGGGATGCTAACGAACAAGGGCAACACAAAAATCATGCTGGTCGTGTAGATAATCCACTCAAGTGCATTACCATAATCCATAAAGTAGTTCTTTTTCTGGGATTGAAAAGAATGAAAAATTGCCACATGAAGAGATCTGACCGTCTGCGTCTATGTGTGTATGTATATTCATATATGCAGTAACAAAATTTTTTTGACAATATAGCCAACTGGAGACAGGTTTAGCCATGGAGGTATACTGGATTGTTTTCAGTTTCCTTGGGGTCTGGGTCAATGGTAAGAATGGCCTAGGGTCACCTTTTGAACTAATACTATGGCATGCTAATCCCTATAAAAATCCTACAAGCTTCTAGGATTTTCCAATGGAGTCCGTTCCATCTTAAAGCAATGTCTAGAAACCCACATTGATTTATGAGAAAACTATTACTACAATAAGAACACAGATTTCTCAGGATACCTGTAACCAAAGGTGATTTTAAAGTGATTTAAGATCTATACTAAGACAGTTGGGATGTGAAAACAAATCACAATGATATTCTTAAAGTGTCAATGTTTTGGTGTTAAATTTTCTATAGATTTTATATCTGTATACAAAATTTCCCATGAATATTAAATTTCCCAGAGGATTAAGTATTTCGAATTTTGGATGTTAAATTTGCCATGAGGCAGGCAATTTAAATGTCAATCAGAAGTTGTGGAAACCAAATCTAAGAGAGAATTCATTTACCTTTATAGTTCAACTAAAATTCTAATCAGTCCTTTTTAGTTTAGGAAAATGAAAGTAATTACTATAGAGATTAAGTAATACTTCCAAATCAAATCATCTATAGTAAAAGTGAAAAACACAGTATAATTCTCAGAACTGTGACAATTTAATATACATATATGTATATATATATACATGCAATATATATGTTGATCATATATAATGTAATAATATTAAATAAAATTATTTTTCTTAATGCTAGAATTCTGTAATGCAAATACCCATGTGCACACATAGTGTAAACAAAATTTAGGAAGATGAACTATTATGTAAAAATATGTCATATAAAATGAAATTCATAAGAAATGTATGAAAATGTGAATAATAATGGACTAAGGTTCAACATTGAAAACTAACAGATTCAGGGCACCTGTTAACCAAGGGTAGAACCTACAGAGAGTTTACATAATTCTTGGGTTTGTTTTGAACTGGATTAACCCACTTTAAAACAAAATGCACATTAAAATTCGCACTATAAAAAAATTTCCAAATTTTATAACTTGAAATTTTATCCATTAAAGAAATAATTCAAGAGAATCAAGATGATGGAATAGGGTAAGGACACTTTTAAACAGATGGAGAAATATTAGCCAGTGTGAAGCAGAGATTGCATCGCAGTAAATACGAAAAGGAAGAACAACAGCAGAGGGGTACCTGGAGACTGACAGACAAGGGAAAACAGCAGACACAATTGTGTGGTGTTGCAATGACTGATACCCCAGCAGCAGCAAAAAATGATCTAAACTCCACTGTCAGGCAGAACTGCACCAGCAACTAAGTGGTAAGGGACATCTACCAGGAGCTCAGGCGGTGAACCCAGACAAAGAACTGCCTAACCTGCTGATCTGTTCGGTTTGACCAAGAGCAGAGGCAGAGCAGCAGATCCCTGACTAGCAGTGCGGGAACAGGGTGGATTTCACAGCCCAGTCCATCCTCTAGAGCCATATTGGGTGCCATTTCGTTTAAGAAGGCAAGGGCAATGGAGAGTACTGTGCATGCATTGAGCTGGAAGCGAACTCATTTCTGGCTCAGCAAACTGCAACAACATAGCATCCTATAGGTTACACCCAAGTCAGTCTAGGTAGCTCACAGACCTGACAGACATCAGATCAAGAACTTTGGTAGTGGTACATTAGGCACCCTTTCATAGGTGGCAAGGTTTTAAGCCTGCAGGGACAACACTGAGCTGCTCATGTGCTAAACTCGGTGAAAACTCACTAAGCTCAGGGCATTGCACTGGTCCCACAGGAAAATAACACTGACTATGGTATTATATGGGTCAAAATAGGTTTGTGTGGCCCTCAAACCTAATGGCCAACAAGTTCCGACAAGGTCAGCACCACCAACAAACTAGCTATATAGGACTCCTGGTGTCTCCCTAGTCCTAGGAACTGCTTCAACCTAAGGAGGCAGAAAGGTTGTACAGACAGTGGTTCAGCCTCAGCACAAATCACAGGAGGTGGAGACTGGTGAATTAGGAACTGGGGCATTGGAGGCCATGGTAGAAATCTGACATAAGAAGCCAGACCTGGAACTTGCTGGAAGGAGTGGCACAACTGACTGCAAACAAAAAGCTGTGTACCAACTACAGTAAGTAAAATCAAACTGTACACCTGTAGGTGACACAGCTTAGAAACCTGCCCCAAGGAGAAGACTCTGATAAACAGAAGTTATCAGAACAAGAGCAAAAGAAGAGACCAAGGCACAATGAATATTACTGAAGACTTCCCTGCAGAGGAGCAAAAGCCAATCTCAGAGTTCACTGAGGAAGACATCAAGAAAATGGGGATACAGAATTCAAAACAGAGTTCACTGAGGAAGACGTCAAGAAAATGGGGATACAGAATTCAAAACAGAGTTCACTGAAGAAGACTTCAAGAAAATGGGAATACAGAATTCAAAACACTTGTTATAAAACTTCTTATCAACAACAAGAACCACACAAATCAGGTGTTCAAGGAATTTAAGGAATATGTCACAGAAGAAATGAATAAAATGAAAGCTGATATATCAGAAATGAAGAATACAGTGGAGAAAACTAAAAGTACAGTGGAGAGTTTTCACAACAGAATGAAGGAGCAGAATTAAGAATCTCAAAAATAGAAGATATTCCCTGTCACCAGGGGAAAACAAACAAAAAGTTGGAAGCAGAGCTGGATCGGGTTAAAAAAGGTATTCAAGAATTGAAAGACACTATTAAAAGGCCAAATATAAGAGTTATGGGAGTCCCAGAAGGTACAAAATTTCCCTAATCTAGAGAAAGAATTGGAAAACAATATCCAGGAGAGGCATAGAACTCCCAAAAGATTTGACCAAAAGGGATCTTCACCATGACACATAATAATCAAGCTCTCTTCAATTGAGCATAAGAAAAAGATCATTAAATGTGCACATGAAAAAAAATCAGCTGATATATAAAGGAAATTCCAATTAAACTCACAGGAGACCTCTCACAGGAAACTCTATAGGCCAGAAGAGAATGGAGTGGCATATTCCAGATTCTAAAAGCAAAAATTTGTCAACCCAGCAAAACTTCCCTTTGTCTTTGAAAATGAAATAAAATTCTTCCACAGTAAAGAAAAGTTAAAAGAATTTGCCTCTTTCAAACCTGCCCTACAAATGATACTTAATGATGTTCTTGACAGAGAAAGGGAATAGCACCCACCAAAACCAAAGACAAATGTTAAGAACATCCCAGTAAAACAACAGCAGAGGACTAAGTCAGTGAACAACCCATTGCTAAAATGACATGACTCAATTACCACCCATTCATATTAGCCCTAAAAGTAAATGGCTTAAACTCATCAATCAAACATCATAGATTGGTAGACTGGATTAAAAAAACAAAATCCATGTTTTTTTTTTAAATAGGAGACACATTTCACCAGCAAAGATCAGCAGAATTATATCTCATAGATTTTGATTTTTTGTTGGTTTCACCATTCAAAACATTTTCTTCTGATTACATTCTTCAGTGACTTATACATCATACAGTAGCTTCATTTTCTTCAAGAAGATTCTTCATTTTCTTCTTCAATTCTTCAGTGACACATTAGTCATTTAGAAGCATGTCATTTAACTTCATGGCATTGGTAATTTTTTTTTTCTTCCTGTTGTTGATTTTGTTTTGTTGCTTTTCATTTAAAGGGACTTATAGTAACTGTGTAATGGAGACTATCATATCCAGATATGAGGATATAATGTAGTGTGCATCTTTACTTCCAAACAAAGATGTACTCCCAATGAAACTGTTTACTGCATCCTGACAATAGGATGTTGGACTCTCTGCCATTGCCCATGCCCACAATAATGGATAAGTGATTGTGTATGAGGAACTATATTGTAGTAATAATATAGGGGAACTCAGTGAGGGGATATGGAATTGGGGAAGAGATGGGAGAAATCCCAGAGCTATGGAACTGTATCATAAAATGATAATAATAAAAAAAAGTTTAAAAAAACAAATAATTCATGTTAATAAAAGAACTCAGAAAATCTACTTAAAATGGAATCTTGGTTCAGATAAGGTTCTTCATAGACACTTAACATTATCAAATTCCAAATCTATTATGCTAACAAGATAATTAAATGGATATAAAACAGAGAAGTCACTGGGAATAATCATTTGTAGCCAGTCAGATCCATCTGAGACAGTTAAAAGAGAACATTCATTTTTCAGATACATTACGCAGTGATCTAAATAAAAGCACATAATTTCTGCATGTTGAAACATTTCTTATTTTTCCTAATTTGTGTCTTAGATATGCTTTATGAACATACTGTAATATTATTTCAAATAATAGTTTATTAATTTATATTCTGTATAGTAAAACATTAAAAATTTTAGAGATGCAAAATGTATTATGTACCTGTTGGAAAATTTGGGCCACTTCTTTGCAGTATCCAAATATACTTGTTAAAAAAACTAAAATCATACAAACTTTTATTGGATATGAGTTCTGAAATAAGAAAATAAAACACCACTTAAATTCTTTGATTATTTTCACTATTAAGTGTTTTGCTCTTTTGCTTCAATTCTATGTAATGTCCACATTTAAACAGAGATCGTGATGCCAATTTTATGTAACTTAGTATAAATAATCATATTTATTCCATGATGTCCTTGTCAAAAGTGGTTCAAAAATTTCTAAATGAGATCTAAATAACCAATGTGCAGACCTGTGCATTTCAAAAAATTATAGTAAAATATGGGATAGAAAATTTGTTAAAACTTCCATATTTCGTATGTACATTTACATTGTCAGTGCTATACCAATATCATCACCTTTTATTTTCACAATTTATTCATCAGCCTACACAAATACTCCCTGTCCACTAACCATCTCTCCCATCCCATGCTCCCAACAGTTCTCAAAAACCACAAATCTGTTTTCTTGCAGGCCTATTGTTAAAAGTGTCTTGCTTCAATATTCAAGCTAAGATATCATACCATTAATTCCCATTAAGTTAGTTTACAAATGTATGTATCAGCCTATTTGTTTGCAGTCTTCTTATTCCATAAAAAGGAGAAATTGGCATCAAATAAATATTCTATAGACTAATTACTATTATCTTAGTCTATAAATTTTGGGTTATTATCTTAATATTTCAGATATATTTACTTAGCTATTCCTAAAGAAAAAAAAAGTTCGTATAATTTGTTGTTAAAAATTTGAACTTTGAAAATACCGTGGTATCTAGTATTTCTGAATGATCACTAGTTTCGTTAATGATTCCAGTTGAGTTGAAAGCCATTCCTGGCTGTATGTTGACAACAAGCATAGTCATGGGTATAAGACCGAGGCAGTAAGATCCTAGATTCATCATATGGGCTCTAAATCCATAAGCACACCTGCCAAAAATAAATAAAAACATTCATGTGAGTTATTTGTGAAAATAGATGTAATCTCTTTCAGAAATATATTTCATTGATTTGGGGGACCAAGAAAACATTTTTAATTCACTTTTTCATTTTCAGAGAAAGAATATCAGCTTTTGAGAAAACCATGACTGAAAATCAACAAATTAGTAGAAACAAAGATTTTAGCGCTAATATCCTGACTCAGAGTTGAATAGTCATCCTTAGAACACAATGCCCGTGTTGACTCAACAGCAGGCCCCAGGAAACTTTCTTCACATCTTATACAATGATTCCCTCCTATATCACACATATTTAATTGAGCATCACACATAAGCAAAGCCAGCTTTTAATTGTTGCTCTAAGTTTAAAATGCTACAATATTGAAATCAGAAAAATTAAGTGTTTTCTGAAGTAAACTGTTAATGCATTTAATGTGGATACCATTAAGGAAATACTATCGGATACGCACCATTTCATAAGCAAATATTCTTTACACACAGGATGATTGAGAAGTTCTATACGGTTATGCTGTACCATTACCTGAGAAAAAAGGAGAGAAATAAAAAAAATACTAAACTACTGCATTTAAGGGATTTTTCTCCTGCAATAGCTTTACTTTGACATTAGAAAAGTAATTCTTGCTTTGAAAAATTTGGGAAATCAAATTAAATGGATTATAAATAAAACAAGATAAAAGGAACTATTTCATATACGTAAAACTATTTGATTCAGTGTGCCTCTTTTTTATCTCTAAATAGAAGAAATAACATAAGCTTTTTAATTTTATGCAGGTTTGCAAGAGGAAAGATCAGTAAAGATAAATTATACCTTCATTCTGCACTTGTAGAAATTAAGGATTATCTTTATGAAAGGATTTTAAATAATTGCGTCTTTATAAAAAATTAACTAGCAAATTGTAAATTTTCATGAACATCATTAGAATGTATCTATATAGTATTCATTTTAATTATTGAATAAATGCATATAAGAACTGATATCAAGAAGTTAAAATAGGAAACTATAGGCATTCTTTTATTCTCAGAGACACCTACTTAAAATGGATTATTTGCCTTTATCACCAATTCAGAACCCAACTTTAAAAATCTTGCCTGCAGTCCAGATGAGCATAGAGCCAAAATAACTCTAACAAAGATACCAAGAAAATACATTGCAATTAATTATCACATCCTCTCCTAACGGGGCACAGTATCATTGGGAGAAAACTCCAAACTCCTAGTTTTTCGCTGGTAAAGAGAAGAAGGAAGGTACACCGATTATTCCAACTTTTGGAGTTGCTTTGAAAGGGAATGAGTCTAAGACTTGATAGGAGCAGCTCCATACATGATTACTGGGAATGAAGTACATCACTAGGGCCTGAGCCAGCACTGCAAAGGCTGCAGTATCACACACAGACACTAGGTAGTGCTCTAGCATCATTGCGCAGTACAGCATCAAAGGAGAGGTTTGAACAAACTTCTCCATTCTACAAAGCCATTAAAAAGAATGAAATTCTACATCTAGCAACAACATAGTTCAAACTGGAGACCATTTTGCTCAGTGAAATAAGCCAGTATCAGAAGGACAGATACCATATGTTCTTGAGCCTGTTTGCAAAATACAGAACAAATATTATACAGGTAAACAATTATGTACATATGTTCTCATTGATGAGCTGTATAATGAAAACTAGCATACCAGAAAGCAAAAATATATTGCAATTGGCATCTCTACTCATGAATAAAGAATTACTCCTAATGAGACTGTTAAATATACCTTGGCAACTCAATACTAGATTTTCTATCATTGCCTACACCCGGCAGGACATAATACAGGTATATAGCAGAATGTTAAACTTGTGACTGTTACTAAAGGATTATGCTACTGTGATAATATGGGGGAAATGCTGGAAGGGGAAAAGGACAGGAAAGAAAGAAAAGACTTATACCTACAAAACTGAATCATGTAAAATAACAATAAAACAATTAAAAAGACTTTAAAAATATTATATGTACAAGATCCAACCACATGAATCCCATCAAAATGCTTGTGATATTCGTAGAATTGGAAGCTAATGGAATTGATGACAGCCTCTTATACAATGAGCAAAGACTGGGAAACATGATCTTTGTTCTTCAAATGCTAATTTGCAACAAAAGATAATCAAACGTTCAAAGATACAGAGAAACATGGCCTTATCAAAGAAACAAAACAACTTCAAAGGACTGCCAAAGATTGAAATATCTATTGTAAGGATGCTTGATGAATTACAACAGAACAGAAAATAATCACTAAACAAAATCATGAAAGTTGTACATGAATAAAATGAAAATATTAACAAACTATGTTGCATAATCAAACAGAAATTCTGGAGCTGAAAAATGAAATAACTGAACTGAAAAAATAACTCGAAGAGTTCAAAACTAAAATTTCCCAGAGAGAAGGATGAGCTTAAAGACACAACACCCGTAATCATCAAATCAGAGAAGACAAGCAGGAAAAAGAAAAAGGAAGGCCTAAAAATAATGGACTCAGTCAAGCAGAAATAACATATACATTATGGAATCTCTGAAGAAACTAAAAAAAAAAAAAAAGAAAGAAACAGCTATTATATTTGATGAAATAATGGCTGTTAATTTCCCAAACCTGAGAAGAGAAATGGAGACACTCATTTAAAAAGCTCAAAAATGTCAATTAGCATAAATTCAAAATGACACATTATAATCGATCTGCCAAAAGTCGCCACAAAAGAATCTAGAAATCAAAACGAAAAAAGCAATTCCTCATAGGTTAGGGAATCTCCATAAGAATATCAACCAATTTCCCAGCACAAACCTAGCATGCTACAATGGAGTATATTAATACTCATATATTCAAAGTGTGAAAAGGAGAAAATAAAACACCTACCCAAAATATTACAATTGATCAAACATTTCCTTAAAAATTGAAGGAGAGTGTAGGTCATTGACATAATGGATAAGATAAGCCATTGCTTAAGATACCTACATATTACACTGGAGTACCTGAGTTGGAGTCTTGACTCTACTTTCCATACCAGCATCTTGCTGATACACACTTTGGGAGGCAGCAGAAAATGGCTCAAACCATTGGATTCTCACCACGACTGGGGGAAGATCCTTACTGAGTTCCTGGATGCAGGACTTCAACCTGACTCAACTGTGGATGCTGAAGGCAATTAAGGGAGCAGACCAATGAAGGGGAAGCTCCCTCCATTTCTGCCTCTGCCTCTCTCTTTGCCTTTCAAATGGGTTTTTAAAATTAAAAATAACTAATGCAAAACCTATGGTGGTGGGGGGAGGTGCGCAGTGCAGCAGATGATGGTGCAAGTACTTGGCTCCCTGCTACCTTGTGGGAGATAGAGATGCAGTTCTTGGCTCCTGGCTTTAGCTTGGCCCAACCTTAGACAATGTGTGCATTTGAAAGATGAAACAGCAGGTATACGATCTCTCTCTCTCTCTCTCTCTCTCTCTCTCTCTCTCTCTGTCTCCTCTTTCCTTCTCTCTCATCATTCCTCCCACCACCATCACTTTTTTAAAACATGAGATTTCATCACCACCTTACCTGCTTTAAATAAAGGATAAAGGGAGCCCTTCAAGTTTAAATAGAAAGCTGCTAAATATAAAACAAATTACAAAAGTATATAAAACACTCTACTAAAGGTAAAGATATAGGCAGGTATAGGGTTGTAATATAGGTAAATAAATCACTTTTTAAAAACACTAAAATTGTTAAACAAGTACATAGAAAGTAGTTGTAAATCTATGTTAACTTATGTACAATACAAAAAGTGGAGTTGTGTCATCAAGAACATGAAGTAGGAGATGGAGGAACTTTTCTAATGGAGTAGTTTCTATAGCAATTCAATTTACATTATCACTCTAAAACAGACTTAATTTTAAGACATTTTATCTAATTTCAATGTTAGTCACACCGAAAATATCTACAAAATATATACAAAAGGAAATAAGAAAGAAATTAAAATATGTAACTACAAAAAAGTCAATGAAACCCACAAGAAAAAGAGGAAAAGAAAGCAAAAAAAAGCAATGTACAGAAAAAAGTAAAATGCAAATATTTAGTCATTGTCTGTCAGTATCAATTTTAAATGGAAATCAATTAAATATTTCTGTTAAAATATAAAGAATCGAATGAGGGAAAATAGAATTCAACTATACGCTGTCTTTGGAGATTCACTATATATATGAAAATAGATACAACTGAAAAATGAAAGGATAGAAAAAGATCTTATGCAAATAGGAATCTAAAGTGGATATGGATAGCTGTACTTATATTACACCAAAAAAAATTTCAAGGAAAAATTGTCAAAAGAAATATAAAAAGAACATTATGAGCCTGGCACGGTGGCCTAGCCAACACTGGGATCCCATATGGGCGCTGGTTCTAATCCCGGCTGCTCCACTTCCCCCTGCTTGTGGTCTGGGAAAGCAGGGGAGGGTGGTCCAAAGCCTTGGGACCTGCACCTGCATGGGAGACCTGGAAGAGCTCCTGGCTCCTGGCTTTGGATCGGCGCAGCTCCTGCTATTGCAGCCGCTTCGGGAGTGAACCACCAGATGGAAGATCTTCCTCTCTATCTCTCCTCCTCTCTCTATATATCTGACTTTGCAATAAAAATAAATAATGAATCTTTAAAAAGAAAGAATGTTGTATAATAATAATGTCAATTTATTGTGGTAATTTCTCAAAGGTATAGTACACAGATCAAATTGAGGGAAAAATAAAAATAAAATAGTGGACTTTAATAGCCAATTTTCAATTTGAATGGAACAACCAGGGACCATAAATCATTATATAACATTGTTTAGAAAGTAGAAAACGTTACAATTAGACATAAAGAAAAAACTTCCTTTGCACATATTACAATATTAATTGCTAAAATCTCCATATTATCCAAATTGATCTATAGAGTCAATGCAGTCTCTATCAAACTCTCAATTTTTTAAAATAGAAAAATGTAGTCTAAAAATCACATGGAACCTGAATAAAAAAAAAAAAACTTCCTTTTGAAAAGGAGTAAGTTAAAAGTCTTAGACTTTTTGATCTCAAAGTCTATTGCAAACCAAAAATAAACAAAGGTAGATGGTATTGATATGAAAAGTTACACAAGTCAGTGCAACATAGTAGACAGCCCAGGAAATTGCCTCTTCAAATACGTCAAATGGTCGCCAGGAAGAGTGCTAGGGTGGCATGCTAGGGAAAGTACAAATCCTCTCAAAAAATGGATAGCCATACACAAATGTCTAAAATTGGACCTTATTTTATATTATATGCAAAAATTAACCCGAAAATGAATTAGAGACTAGCACATGAAACCTAAATATATAAATCTCCTAGGAGAAAAGAAATGGGAAGTTTCGTAGTAATAAATTTCACAGTGATTTCGCGAATGTGACACAAAAAGTTGAGGCAGTAATAGAAAAATAAGACCACATGAAACTAAACAAAAAAAAAAGTCTATATCTCAAAAGTGAACAGACAGCCTATGAAACGGGAGTAAATAATCTAATAATTGGAACACATGAGGACCTCCTATAATTCAACAACAAAGCAACAATTTGAACAATTTTAAAATAGACAAAGGAATCAGCATCATGGTACAGAGAGAGTTAAACTATGCCCTAAGAGACTGGCATTCTTATCAGAGTGACAGTTGAGTCCTGGCAGCATTAGTTCCAATCAAACCACATCTAAATGTCCTTAAGGATGGCAGTTCAAGATAATTCAAGTATCTGGGCCTCGACCCACATGTGGAAAACCTGGATGGAGTTCCTGAATGAGAAGTGAACCAGCAGATGGAAGATCTCTGTCTCTCCCTCTTTCTCTGTCATTCTCTCTTTCAAATAAATATTTCTTCAAAAACATGCAAAGGATTTGACATGTGTTTCTCTAAAGATTTACCAATGGCTTACAAACATATTAACATATTGTCATGATTAATCATAAGAGAAATGAAAATTAAAATCAGAAGAAGGTATACCTCACACCCATTAGGATGGTTACTAGAGGAGTAGAAAACAGCAAGTGTGAGAAGGTGGGGAGACGGGAAGGTGCAATCATGGAGTACAAAGTGCCTCAAAACATTGAAGAGCATCAGCATCACATGATTTGGCAATCCCATGTCTAGGCAAATATCCGAAGAATTTAAATCAGGGTTTTGAAAAGCACACCAACGTTAACTGCAGCATTATTCACAACAATATGCAAGCAGCCCAAATGTCCGGCATCAACAAGTGAACTGATATAGCAAATGTGATACATGCAGTGTGACATTACTCATCTTAAAGAAAGAAAATCTTAGCAACAGGGATGAATCTTGAGGAAACAAGAATGAATTAAATAAACTTGTCACCGAAGAACAGCTGCTATATCATCCTACCCATGTGAAGTACCTATTGTTGCCAAAATCATATAAACAAAATGTAGAAAGGTGTTTGCCAAGGGCCTGGGAGGGATGAGGAAAATTGGTTTTTAATGAATGTGAGTGGGTTTTGCAAGATGAAAGTGTTCTTAAGATCTTTTGGGTATACATGTAAATATACTTAACACTATTGAATTCCATACTTAAAAATGGTCAACGCAAATAAATTTAATGTTGTGTGTTTTAGCTTCTTAATTTAAATGTTTGTACATTCCAAAATTATAAATCAATACTGTCTAGTCTTTGAATATTCACTCACATTTTGAAAAATCTGCTACTAAGTTTTTTTCAGCAGCCTAATAGAATATATGTATATATTGAAATATATATATATATATCTGAAACAATTTTTGAGGTTTCTTTTGAAAATTTGATCCTGTGATCCACTCCCAGCATTTCTGAGTAAGTAGGTCTAAGACAGGTTTAGAAATGTTTATTTTAACAAGTGCTATAGTAATTCTGACACTATTTTAGAAAATGGTAGATTACAATTTTAAGAAATACTATTGTGAAATCACCAACTGAATCGTTTGGCTTGTCCTTTTTTTCCACTTTATTTTTATTTCAACAACTCGAAAAATGATTTGAAGCCTATGTGTAAATAATATTCTGAGAGAATTAAAGAACTCTTATCTGCTAGAAGCCCAATGGGCCCATGCAGCTACAAGTCTGCCTATTTCTGGAGAAGAAAATACATACATGATCTACTGAGATGTCATTTAAGCTTCCATGTAGATGTGAATCTTTTTATGTTTTAAATTAGGTTTATGCTCTTTCAAACTAAACAGAAATCAGGGAAAATATTTTTGAGGATAATTAGTTTAGTTAAAATTTATATTTTAAAAAAATACCATAATAGGAATATTATTTCCTAAGCATCTCAATTAAAACAATCCTATGACATTCTAAAACCTTGTAGATCTGTTTAGAGTCCATAGACAAATGGATCAAAGCCTACCATCTTAAACATATGGACAGAATGAGCTTAAACGATCACCTAAATTAAGTGGAAATAATAATTAAAATATCAAGTGTGCTTGTAGCTGTTTAACTGGAGTTCCTAAGGCAGCCCTACTCTGCATGTGCCTTTAATAAACCTCTAATCAGCTCTTGTTTTAATATTACTATCCAATGTCATATGCCCCCTATTTGTTTGATCCACCTATACTTTCAGACTTGCATGCACCATAAATTCTTGGATGAGACCAGCAGCTTCCCTGATGAACCCATTCAGGTTACTAATAACCTCACTGTATTATTAAGGCACCACACAATTACATGCTGTTACAATATGTACCAACTGTGCTGCATTTATACATCTGAATCTGTTTCATATAAGGTACACAGGTTCTATTACTATGTACAGTTTTTCTTTTCCTGTTTAGTCACTACATAGTTTTTTTCTCTCTTACTTCTGTTAGCGAAGATTTTACTTTCTGAAAGTTTTGTCTATTCTTTAAATAGAAATGTTTGAAAAAAAACAAAATTTTAAGTATAACTATAGAATGGCTATTATTAGCTGCCTTGGCTATTGATTCTAACCTATTTTCCAACTGAAAAATATAATGTACTTCAACAAAGCTAAAATCCAGTTAGCTTCAGGGCATTAAAATCACAGAAGCCTGTATCCTTCATTCTCCAAGTGCTCAGTGAGTCTTCTGGACACTAATGTGATGATTGGTCTTTATAAAAGGCTACCATGTAAGCAAATGAATTCACTTAAGGTGAGTGCAAATTCCTCATTGATCTACATGTCATCCAATAGAATTGCACGCAATGGTAAGAAAGTTTTTTAATCCATGTTGTCCAATATGGGAGCATGAGCCAAAGGGATTCCTGAATACTAGCACCACTAATATACAATTAGTAAATGACTAGTATGTAACTAGTAAATATGACTAGTACCACCGAAGATAAGAATTTACTCTTTTACTTCATTTCAATTAAAGTTGCCACTTCTAGCTGGTGAAAATTACATTAAATTGTACAGATCTATGCCAAAACACTCAAATCCAATCTCCAAACCTGGTTTTATCCACAAAATGTAAGTTTGTTGCAGTCACACAATGCTCAGTCATCATTTATAATCGACAATTTTGGGGGGAGGTGGGATTGAGGACTGACAGCCACTGTCCATTTCATTACAAATCTATGTTGTTTTCTCTTCCTTTATTTTACTTTGAGGCCCTTGGTTTGGGCTGAAGTGGATAATTTGCATGCTATTCATTCCTTCAAAAGCTGGAAGTGTAAAATCGTCCTTTGGAATAAGATGTGATTTAGGGCAAGTATCCTGGGAAATCAGCATTAATATTGTATGCTTAGAGCTTGTTTCTTAATTTGGGGTACATTCTCTGGAGGTATCTGAGAGTCTTCGAAAGATCAATATACCTGGAAGCTGCTTAGCAGCTGCAGCTGTAAAATGTCACTCTCTACATCTTCCTATGATTTACACAGAAGAAAGCTTTAGAAAGTGTAGGTGGATGGAATATGGCAGCACACCCTGACCATGCTGTCCCTGGTTCATCCCATTCTGGACTGAAGCAGGTCTTACATGATGTGGACCTTTCAGAAAACACAATTACAGTAACAGTAGAACAATCACTTTGCTGCAACTCTGGTAGATACAGACACAGACTATAAAACTGTAATTCTAATATTAATAAGAGAAAGAAACTTTACTGAAACATTTTAAGGTTGAAGTAGGAACTACCTGGATGAAGAAAATGCTGAACTTACATTGAGGATTGGAAGAGGCTCATATGTAACATCCTGCACAGGTGCCTTTTGCTTGGTTAATGCTAATGGGCAGTGAAGATATTTAAAATTATATTCGATCTGTAGAAGATAAAAATATTTTAATTAGACTAGTATGGACTCCAATTAGTTTGTGACAAATCAAATCTGCAAGGTTATAATTCTGAAAATTAAGTTACTCATGTAAAGCTGAGTCTTCTAAAGTGGAAAAGTAAATTAAATTATTATACATTAACCACAGAAAACAAATATTTACAAGGTATTATTTAACTGTTTTATAACTCAGAGTGATGGAAAAAGAGGCATTCTAAAAAGATTATTTAGACCTGTAGGCTTTTAGTCTTCAGGCATAACTATTCATGAAAATATAAAAACTACAAACAATACTAAAAACAATTTCAAAGGGACAATGAAGAAGTAAGGGGAAAATTTTCTCACAGGTGGATGATACAATATGACAGATTATACCTGTCTTCCACAATAGATTGTAGAACTTTAGTGACACTATATTTTTATATTATACTTATATATAATATATTTATATGGTAAGTTCTTTAATATCAAAAACATTCATGATAAGACAAACTTACATGGTAATCTCGGCAGGATTTGTCCCCTGTGGAAGGTATAATGCAGAAATCTAAAAGAACCTTCAAGAGTGAGATAAAGCTATTAGGGTAACAAATTACATATGAGAAAGGAGCGTAACAAATTTCTAAAATAATAGAGAAGGTATTCTTATTTTTTTCACATATGAGAAAGGAGTATATCATATTTCTAAAATAATAGGTAAGGCACTCTCATTTTCTTTTTGTACCCCAATGATAAAATGTAATCCATGTCATTAAGGAATAAAGGTTAAAATATAAATGTGTTACAAGTGCATCTGTATGCATCAGAAATAACAAGTGATTCAGAAAAACATAATTTGCTTGAGAATGAAATTGCACTTATTAATCCTGCACAAGATATATCCCACCGGTTTATATAGTATTTGATGTTATTATTAGATCCTACAAATTATATAAGTTATGAAGGATTCCTTTGCTCAGTATTTTACAGTGACAAGTGAATGTCTCTCATTGAAATTTTCATCTTTTTTTTCCTTGGTTATTATCTGGTTTGGGCCCCATTTTCTGTTTGCTTCAGCCTGGGACATTGAACTTGCTTCTGTGACTCACCTGTGGACATGAGAAAAGGAGTCCAGAGTGGAATGGATAAGAAAGGAGGGGATAGATAGTGTAATGATACATCCTTGAAGACACTTTTCAATGCTCATCTCAGGTAAAGAACTCTTCTCAGGTCATTAAAGCCACCTGCAGGCGGCATGGGCAATAAGCATTTTTGTGCAGTTCTTGTTAATATAAACAATTTGAGTAATACCAAATATGACAACCCGAGTTTGTGAAAGATAGATTGTCAGGCCAGGTTATCCTACTGGGATCACGACTTTGAATTAGATAACAGCATCAATACGGGCCAGAGTCCCTGGGCCATCTAATTAATGTCTAGTGGATGTTATAAAGGAGAAAATGTCCACGTAACATTTAGCACTCTGTGTTTGTTGAGTAAATAAACAATATACATTATAATGGTACTAATGACTTCATGAATAGTATAAAAACTGTGAGTGTATTATATATGAACAATTATTCTTATACTTTATGTATGTAATCTGTTTTTACTCATTATCACTTTGCAAGACCAATATCAGCATTAGTATTTCAGAGAAAAAGAAAATAGAAAATGAAGCTCAGAAAGATGAAATGAGTGACCTAGACAACACAGCAAGAGGCAAAGCCAAGATTAATCCTAAAAGCTCCAAGTTCCAGAACTTGCTCTCAATTCTCTGTGTCACTGTATCTTACAGCCTTCTAACATATTTGAACATATTTTTCTCTTTGAATGATATCTGAAGTCACCCTTTTTTCTTGATTACTCTATCATTGTCCTTAAATATTGTTTTTTTCCCAAAGAGATTTTTGATTTACAATCTTTAACATGCTTGTGTTTAACAATGTGTGCATGTTTGCTTGTAACAGGCATTCAGTCACGTGTTGTGTGTGAATTTAACTTAACACAAGGAATCACATATTCAAAGACCCGGAAAGTTCAAGCAGGTACAGTCCTGTTCAATGATGGATCACATATATAATAATGGCCCCACAATACTATGCTACTCGATTATGTGGTAGAAATCATAATTTGTATAGTCTATGATGTACACACAATGGCATCCATCAACAATGCATGAATCAGAACTAATTGTCTCATTGACAAATGACTGTTACATATGAACCATACCAGGCGTAATATGAGCTCCTTGCCATTACTCTTAAAATGTTAGCTATCTTGCTCCAGCTTTTATCTTAACATTTTGGAAAGAAGCACATGTGGAGAAATCTCTTATCAAAAAGAAAGCAATCGCACAAGAATGGCAATGCAGGTCAGCTAACACTTGTGAAGGAAGGGTTGGGATATGGAACATGTCTAATGGAAGAATGCATGCCTTATCCAAAGGACGCAGCTGTTTTTGGTCCAGCAACCCTGCCTGGCAAGAAAACCCAGCCCAACACAGATACTCAAATTTTATAGAAATCAGATGTCTGGATCCTCAAAGATAGCATCCTGGTCTCAAATAATACCAATGGAAGTAAACATGAAACAACAATAATATGTGTGCAAACAAACACAGCTAGAAGCTTTATTCAACCAGCAATGACCAGTCTGTAGTTTGTGATAGACTTGCATCCTTTAAGAAATGTTTATCATATTTTCCTATATTACACATAATAGCTACTATGATTCTTTGATTCATATGAGAACTGACTAGCATAATTTTATAGGCTATGGAAAACTAGAAAGCACATTTACAAATGGAAATTACTCTTACAACACTGCAATTACAAGAATACATTCTCACATCATAATAAATGCCAAGCATAAATCCATGAAGAGATTTGGTTAATGAGCTTACTTTCATGCATTCAGGAAGATATTCTACCATTTCCATGATTGGACATCTATTGGTTGGAGAATAATGACTAAATACCTTTAAACATTCATCCCATCTGTAAAAATACAAATAAATAGGACAAACAAATCAATATTTATTTTCTATTTAGCAGTTTAAGCTCCACAAGATTTTATCCTCAGTAGTTAAAATCAATCAATTTAACTTAATTTTATTCTATTTACAAAATTTAGGGCCACAGTGAAAGCAATAGGCAAATCAAGAGGAAATATGCTATAGAGTCTTCCCCTTTCTTCATCATCTCACTCTTTGATTGGATAAGATAATGCAACATAATTTAAAAAAGAAAAAAATAATGTGATTATAATAAAATGGAAGATCTAAATCTACAACTGACAGTAAGAAGAACCCCTTTATAACCAAGATGTTATCTGAATAATTTTAGTTTGGCTTTTAATAAAAATTGGACAAATATTTTCTTAACTCTATCAATAAAATGTATCTAAAGTATTTGTGTTACACACACTTGTCAATACATCATTCAGAGTAAGAAGGAGATTCTTGAAACAGTCCATGCTGGGAAACCCAGTCTGGATCGGCCTGAAACAAAATTACTCAGATCTGTAGGTACTACTGGGTGACCATGGGTCCTTGAGCATATCTGTCTATAATTATATACAAAAGTTTATGTGTGTGATGTTGGAGAAACTATCTTCTGTCTAGATCATTAAACTCTCTTAGTTTAAATACTCACTCTGGAAGTATCAAGCACTAAGGGAAATTCCACTACATGGCAGTGGTAACATCATGATTCACCTTGCAGAATGTTCTCACCAGCATCTGGCTTTGAGTTTCCATTGGCAAGGGTGTGTAGGGTAAGTCCAGGAAAACACAGCGTCTTGACAATGGTCACAGTGCCAGATACTATGAGGGTACTTCAAAAAGTTCATGAATATGGAATTAAAGATACATTGATTTTGGTTTTTAAAAAAATCAAAATTGATTTAGCATTTTCTCATAATACTCCCATCCAACAACTTTTTGAAGACCTTTTATATGCAGGAACTTCAAAACCTCTGACAACAAAATAAACTTACCACTTAACTTGCCACCAATTTTCTGATATGCCATTATATAGGTACCCAGGCTGTGACTTTTCCCTGACATCAGAGGGTACTAAATGACAGTGAGCAGGAAGGCAGTGAGTATACCTTTTGTTTCTGATGGTCGTGAGAACCACCTCCTTCCTCTTATTGTGAAGAGCCACGTGCAGAAAGGAGGCCTGCTGTTTGTTCAGAACTATGCTGGCATCATACTTCAGAAGAAGTGCCACAGCTTTGGCATGGCCTTCCCTTGCAGCAAAGTGAAGAGCTGTGTTCTTTGAGAAAGAACAAAAAATGAAGAAGTAGAGACAGTGGTAAATAGTCCTTTGATCATTTTGCCATCTTGTTTCATGGCTGAACTGCTTAAAATACATGAACAGAGCTTGCCATTTAGTCTCACAATACATACAACTTAAAACTGAGGTTCAAAAGCAAGTTTCAAAATAATGAGCTTTTATTTCAAACACAATAGGAAGTTTCTGTGTGTATGTATAAACTTCCCAGGAAGTTGATTCTACAAGAATAAAGTTTCAGAAGCTCCAGTGTTTTCTCAGAAGAAAACACTCCTGGGAGGTTTACTATGTAAACCCAGCATAGCACTGTTCTCCACCTTTGAGATTTTCAGGAGCTGGTAAAATGTTTTCTTTTTCAGTGAGAGACTGTTCCAAGGTTGTCATTTTTCATTCTGCCACATGAAATCTTTAACAAAAACCAACTATAATCTTACCTGCATCATCTTATGAACAAATGTACATCTCCTCAAAAAAGGAGAAAGGATATAATACAAGAAAGGACAACCCTTCCCAATATAATTTAAAATAATACATTGTGTGTTGTGAACACATCCCTGCTTTCTTCTCTTATCTTCTCTGTCTTCCCCAAGGGAAGAAGAAAACTTTCTCATGGAACCACAGTAGCCCTGGACAAATCTCTGTGAGATTAGAGCAGTGTTCTCAATATACACCTAGACTTTTGCCTTTCACTCATTCCTCACTGCAAGAGACCGCATGTTCAAAACCCAACAAAAATCTGGACTAGGGCCACAAAAGGAGCATGGAGAAAAAGGTAGCACTCTGGCAAGTCTGGCAAATTTAAGAGATTTTAAGTAGGCCTGAGCCACACAGGACCTACCCCTTCTTCATCTAGCCGATCTGTACACTTCAAGTTAGTGTCAAGAATGACCTTCATGGTCTGAGTGTATCCACCCAAGGAAGCATGATGCAAAGCAGTCCAGCCGTTGTGGTCACTGTTAAAGAGTCAAGAAAAGATATTGATGTTTACAGATGGAATGTGGGAAGGAACCCGCTCCAGTTCATTGCAAGTGTATCTGAAGACTGAAGGGGAAAAAAACTGCCATTGTGATTTGGCAACTAAATGTTTCCTCTGTATCCATAATATATCAGCTAATTTCAAACCCAAGCATCTTAAATGATCTATCTGTAATATCATAAACATAAATTGCTGTTAGTAGGAAATACATAGCGATAGAAGCACATTTCCAAATTTATAATTGTGGTACCAATCTTCACAGTCAGTAGTTAGTGTTAATACAAGTTAGAGATCCTTAACTTGAAAATCTGAAACAATCTGAAATCTGAAATGCTCTAAAATCCAAGACATTTTGAGTGGGTTGATCTATGTGAATATTACGAAATTCATAAAACTTGGAAATCTTAAGCACTTTTAGGAAAGGCATGTTCAACCTACAGTAGTAGTAATAATAATAAACAAGGTGCATGGCTGTATTTAGATTAATGCCACTTATTCTTCAAAAAGCTAATTCTGAAAATGTTCTCTTGTGCTCTCAAAGAGGTTTACTCATTTTTCATTCTTAAAAAGAACTGTTTATTCTTTCTCAAGACGTTAAAACAAGGAGTGCTTGCCATAACCACAATGCTTTTCTAAGTTAGACATAGAGAAACATTTCTTGGAGCCACTTGGGCTTGTTTCCGCTGTTGCTTGCTGTTCCTTTGGAAGTGTGAATGAACGAGGTAAAGCATTAGCACACAGCTACATCACTAACGTCCTGGAATCAGTCTGTGGTCTGATGAAGAAATGGCCTTTTTGATATTATCCTCATGAAATACAATCTTGGTGAATTAGAATATATCCAACTGTACCTTCAGAAAATTGCTTCCAGATTTTCTTTCCTCTTCCTAAAGATGTTATTTAATTATGACACATTAATACTATGCTTACATGATTCTGTTGCTTGTGATAACTTCCCTGTAAGTATGAGGAGAGTTCAAACAGTTTTTGGAAAAATGAAATTTAAAAGTAAGCTTATTTTTGTTCAAAATTTTTGAAATCTATGCACTCTTTTCATAGCATCCATTTTCCATGAACTTTTGGAAGCCCAATGAAATTAAGGAAATTTTAGTGTTTCCTGCCTAAAGAGGAAATTTTTATGGCTTTTATAAATCAAATTGAATAAAAAAGTTATCTTAGAACTTGCGTAGTTTTCTGTGTACAAACAAAATGAATAAGAAAATAAGAAGAATAAGTAAATAAGAAAACAAATAATAAGTACAAATAAATAAAGAGAAATAATACGAAGAAAATAAGTAATAAGAACGTGGCAGCACGATGAGATAAAATATGAAGAACTGTATTTCACAGGTTCTAGAAACATGCTATACAGTCACTTATTCCATAACCTTGAATAAGGTCTTCAATTCCATAAACTCTTATGTTTTTATTTGTCAGTTGGGAAAAATATTGAATTCCCTATGAATAGGTCAGAAGGCATGTATATTCTGAGGACAAATCAAGATCAATATGAGTACTTCATGAATGATAAAAGTATGTGTCATAATTAAATTTTATTTTTTTTAAAGATTTATTATTATTATTATTTTTTATTGGAAAGGCAGATATACAGAGAGGAGAGATAGAGAGAAAGATCTTCCGTCTGATGATTCACTCTCCAAGTGAGCCACAACGGCCAATACTATGTCGATCCGAAGCCAGGAGCCTCTTCCGGATCTCCCACGCGGGTGCAGGGTCCCAAAGCCTTGGGCCGTCCTGGACTGCTTTCCCGGGCCACAGGCAGGGAGCTGGAAGGGAAGCGGGGCTGCTGGGATTAGAACCGGCGCCCATATGGGATCCCAGGCGTGCAAGGTGAGGAGGACCTTAACCACTGCGCCACCGCGCCGGGCCCCATAATTAAATTTGAATAGAAAAAGACTAAACACAACTAAAACTAGAATACAAATACACTCTAGTCAAACATTCTTACTTGATAAATAATGCGCCTTTTTTCAAGAGAAGCTGAACCACTTTATCGTGTCCATTTTTCGCTGCCAGATGTAGAGGAGTCATCCCATTAAGATCACCTTCGTTCAAAAGCCGTGTATCACTGATGCCTTGGAGGAGTCTCTGACAGGTATTGATGCGTCCATAACTTGGAAAAAAAATAGATGTGTTATTCTCAAAGTAAACTTTCAACAGAAAGAAAACATGCAGTTATGTTGCCTAGAACGACTGTTACCTGGCTGCAAAGTGCAGGGGTGACTTCTTATCTTTGCTCTTGGAATGAATCGACACATTGAAGCCCAGTAGGTTATTTACAGAGACAGGGACTCCCTGTCTACAGGCATAATGTAGAGGAGTACATCCATCATTGTCTTCATCCATCACCAGCTCTTTAATATGTTGCATCTATGGGAAAGTTAATACTCTGCCAATAACTCGGCTATTAGGCTATAATCATGGTTTATAAACTATTAAGTAAGACAGATTTATTTTCTAAAATATTTCCCTCAAGGGGAAAAAAAAACCATAAACAAGCTAATGGACAACAGAATAAAACAAATATAAAATAAGTTCCATGGGATCCTTCCTAACATGTACCCTACATCATATCTTAACATAGAAGAAGCTATGAGAGAAAAACATACTGCAAGTAGAAAAACGTACTTAACATTCTCAGTCTATTATTGCCCAGATATATTTGACCACACATGCCTTCTGCCCTTCTTAATTTTGTCCTCAAATAATAGTTCAGAGCTTAATCATAATATATTCTAATACGTAAAAGAATTGAGATAATTGGGCTTATATTTTATATGTTCAGCAAATAAAATCTTGAATAGGAATGAATGACTTAGCCAATTAAGTTATATTATTTAATATTTTAAAATAAGCATCTATTTTTATTATTAAAAGCAGTTGAAAGTTTAAAATATGTTCTTTTTTGTTACTGTGCTTTTCATGTCAGTATGATAGAAAACAAAGAGAACAGATTTACTGTAGCTCATACATACAAGTCTAAGAAAATAACAATATTCTCCTCCTGCCTTTCTTTCCCCTTCAGTTTTCTCTTGCCCTCTTTCTTTCTTTCTCGTTTGTTCTTCCTTCTCTTTTAGGTTTCAAGAAAACATTTTTAACTAACATGACAATCAAGGCATTAATGTTCCATTAAATATATCAGCAAATAGAAAGTAAAAAGACACTATAATTCAGTAATTTTTACAGGAGATTTATAAACAATACTGAAATAGAAAGACAGCCATTTCATTCTTATACAGTAAATCTTAGTAATACTCAAAGATCACTAAAACAATAGTAGTTTAAGATCCAGTGTTACAGAATCTTGGGTTAAGCTTCCACCAGCTTTCCCATCATCCTATATGGGTGCTAGCTTGTGTCCCAGTTGTTCCACTTCCGACTTATCTCCTTTTTAATGTGCCTAGGAGAGCAGCAGAAGACAATCCAAATGCTTGGGTTCCTGCCACACACGCAGATGACCCAGAAGAAGCTCTTAACTCCTGGATTTGACCTGGCCCAGACCTGATGATTGCAGGCATCTAGGGATTATATTAGCAGATAAGAGATTTCTCTCATTTCTCTCTATCTATATAAATGTTCCTTTCAAATAAATAAATCTTTTTAAAAACCAGAAGTTTAGTATTCTTAACCATAGGTTTAACAAAGACATAACACGAAATTCAACAAAGATATACTTGTAGTGAAACTGGTACACATTTCTTTCTCTCTCTTTGTTTTTAAGCTTTTTGATTTTAAAAATTTTAGCTCCCACATATAAGGGAGAAAAGGCTATATTTGTGTGTTTGCTGATTTCACCAAACATGATGTATTCAGTGGTATTTATTTTGAAATAAATGGTAACATTTCATTCTTTTGTATATCTGAATAATATGCCATTTTCTTATCTATTCATCTGATAATGGACACCTCGGTTCATTCCATATTTTGGCTATTGTGAACCATCTTGCTACAGATGATGCCCAGTATTTACACAGTAGTAGGATTTTAGGCTCATACGGGAAGTCTATTTCTAGTTTTTAAAGAAGTATCCATATTGTTTCCCACAGTGGTACAGTCCCACCAGCAGTGTATAAGTGTTTCTCTTCTCCACATCCTTATCAACATTTGTTATCCTCTATCTTGCATAACGGCCATTCTGATGAGAGTAAAGTTATGACTCTGTGGTTTTACAAAAAATATGGGGATTTCATATACATCCTAGTGACTCAGTGGGTATTAATAAAAATAAATATGAAAATAATACTTTCAACATACCACCAAAAGTTAAGTATATTAAGTTACGATTTATTTTTAAGGTGATGGTTAAGCATTGCCAATTTACTCAGGTACTTGGCTTTTCCTCTGATACACAAATTAAGAGTCAAAAAGTGAAGGAAATCAGATTGCTTAAGGACGTAATTATACTACATATAAGGATATATGAAAATCCCCTGTAATTTAGCAACCCAAATATAATGCAATCATCATCATCAACCTCATCACTACCACCACCAAGATGCAAATATTCAAATATGACACCTTAATTTTAAAGTATTAAAAAATGACAAAGTCAGCCTTCACGACAGTAATAATGGCATTAATAAAAGTTTACTCTGCTAGACAATGCAGTTTATGGAAATTCATGGACATAAATTACCTGCATAAATTCAGGTTGCAAATTTTTTAATCCATAAGGTTGCTGCACAGTCAAATGTAAAAAGTTACGCCCATGATGATCTTTTATGTGTACATGAGCACCTAAAAAGCATAATATAAACATAAATTCTACTCAGTTATGTAAAGCATGGCCTTTGTGAATATGGACTTTAATCAAAGAGTTTGACTGAAAAACATCACCAAGATATAATACACTATAAGCTTTAGTTAGCTGGAAACACTAAGCACATGTTAGAATGAGTTACATATTGTTCGTGTGTAAGGTAGAGAATATATGATGCAATATATAAAAGCACAAAATATAGATACGGTAAAATTAGAGTTAAATAAATAGAGAGGATGCTACTTTCATTATAGCACTGGATCAGAATATGTCTTCAAAATCATTACTACATGTAAACCAAATTGGACTGATTCTTAGAGAAAACTGGTAAAATGTTTTTCAATACACTAGGGTATAGCAATATCTTATAAGTGCTATCTATTATCATTCTGTGAAGCTTTTTATACCTCTGCCTCAAAGCCACTAGCACTGCAGATAAATTGCGCTGATACTGATTATCTCTGTGTACATAGCACCTGGTCCAGTGACTAGCACACAGTAGAAGATTAATAAATATTTGTCTAACTATATTGAGTTGTAGTTCCTAAGCCTTGAGTTGGTCCCTATTGGTACCTTTAGAAAGCAGTAAGTTTACAACATTCCAAGATGCAGAAGCAGTTGCTGACATAAGTGGAGAGCGTCCTTCAGCATCAGTGATATTAATATCAGCTCCCTAAAATAAGCCAATTAACAGAGTTTAAGAACAAATTGGTTTACATTACCATCTCTAAATAATATTAATTCATTGGAATAGAATATCTATGTTACGACTAGTACCGAAGCATATAACTATCCAATTGCTTGAGATTTCCATGTAATTTCATTGTTGTAACACCAGAAATTAAGGCATTCTTTCATAATGTCAACAATGATATTATTCTCACACGGTAGGCTTATGACTTGCCTAAACCAGTAACAGCTCTATTACTACCTAAACCATAAAAATAAAATCCTTGTACTTACAGCAATAATTATTTCTCATTGTGAAAAATGATTTTTAAAAGTCTATCATTAAAAAAAGTCTATCATTTACCTTCCAAATGTATATGGAATTTTTTTAAATTTAAGAAAAATTATTTATATTTTTTAAAAATCTACCTCATCTGAAATAAATGAACTGAAATAACTGAATTGAAATAAATCAAATCCTGAAGTAAAATGTTAGGAAAACATTCACTAAGGAAAAGTTGAATGTAAAAATCACTATATATAAATGACCAATTTTTTTTTCATGCTTTTGTAATTTGATTGCAGAGAGAGAGAACTTCTATTGCCCTGGCTCATCCTTCAAGTGCCTACAACACTGAAGGTTAGGCCAGGACAAAGGCAGGAGTCAGGACTCCCCGAGTGGCAGGGATGGATTTAATTTAGTCATTACTGCTGCTCCCAGAGTCCTCCTGAACTGGAAGCTGGAGTCATGTAATCAAATACTGAATCCTGCTATGTAATGTGGGATGCAAGCGTCTAGCAGGCATCTCAACCTCTAAGCCATACATGCATACACTTGTTGCACTTTTAAAAGTTTTGTTTGATTGAGTAATAGTAATAAGGAGGACAATTCAGAAAAGAGTAAAAACGGTACTCAAAATGCAAGTAGGGTAATACAGGAATTTTGTATACTGGATAAAATATTCAGATCTTGTGAGTTTTGAAAACTACTAGCCATGCCATTCCTAACCAAATTTCCATATTCTTTTAGGAATGTGTTTGCTTACTTGGGGCTCTACTCTGCTGTTCACCAATAGTCACTGAGTATGTGAGTCTAGCCAAATTCTTCCTTCTGCAATTCAAATGTATTTACTCCTGTTTCTCTGTCTCTCTTTTTCCTTCTTTATTATTTCATGGATGCTTTTTCAAATTTCAACTTTAAATTAATATTTAACACATTATATAAACTCTGTAAGCACAGATATTTCATAATTATATAACTATTGTCGGCAGCATTCATATTTGTATGCAGACATATATACCTGTGCGCATTTTTAAGTAAATGAAACAATATTTATCACCAGAGTTACTTTTATTTATGTGGTATGATAAAAAGCAAAACACCTTTTACTATTTTACAAAAAGCATTCTATACTTTGGAAAGGGTAATAAAAATAGCTTGAAGTTCACTGGTGGTCATTTCTCTATTCTGTTGAATCCATTCGGTACAGCAGACAATGGCACCAGCATCCTCTTTGAATGCTGGACAGTTCTACTGTAGATTTCTTGCTGGGTAAAGAATTATTATATTTGCAGAAAAACAGGCATAACATGAAACTATGATATATAATGAGCATTCCCAGAATTCTTCTAGGTAAATACATAGCTTCAGTAGTTCTTGCTGATATCACATACGTGCTGAATACTACAAAGGGAATATATTCAGCGTTGATCTAATGGGCTTTCAATAAATTCACCACAGAGTTAGCCACAAAGGGCTTACTAAAAGCTCAAAAAGTGCTTGATTTTGGCTCTTAGGAGAAACAAAGTTCTAATGCTTTCAATTACAACAAACATTCAATAGTAGTTTTCAATTTCTCTGATTTTCTTTGTTTGAAAGTTGTCATCAGGTTGCTTTATGGGTGGCAGAGTCTACACCTCAAAGGCAGCAGAACTGAAGGAATGTCAGTGGAGTGGTCCAAACCTAATCCTCCCTGAGCACCAGCTAGCTCACAGTCCAGCAGAAGAGATTTCCTTGGTGCAAACATCTGACTTAGCAGTTAAGTCAGTGCTCTGTTTGTCTGCACCCTGTGTTGGAGCCTGGTTGGAGTCCCCACTTCCCTCTTCTGATCAGCTTACTACCCATGAGCACCCTGGGAAGCAGTAAATGATGGTGAAACTTCTTGGGATCCTGCCACCCATCTAGGGGGACCCATATGGAATTCCAGGTTCTTAATTTCAGCCTGGCCCAGGCATGGCTGTTAAACCCATTTAAGGAGTAAACTAGCAGATGGATGATCAAGCAATGTCTCTCTCTTTCTCTTTCTGACTTTCAGATAAAATGAAAATAAATAAGCAAAAAAAAAAAAATCGTTTCCCTTGCATTAGACCCACAAACTACTGATATTACAAACAGATACTATGCCAGAAAGTACCTTTTGTAATCTCAAATTATTTAGTCATATGTAATTCTCTATTTTGAAAAATCTGAAAATTATCCATGGGTAAACATTTTTCTAAGAAAGAATGTAAAATTTATTTTCTTTTTAAAACATCTAGTTTATGTAATTGTATTATTTTTCAGTAATAAACAACAATAAAAAGACTGAGTCAAATATTTACCACTGATACTAAGTATTCTGCCAGTTCGTAGTGATCAAATAATGAAGCTCTGAAAAAAAAAAACCAGAATTGAAGTATTATTGATAAAAGGTATAAAATAAAAATTAAGGAATTACTGATATAAACTTAGGAAGCGACAGAGCCTGAAAGGGAACTGCCTGGCCACTGAGAAACATTTAAATATTACTGAATTAGGAGGCTTTCAAAATGTATAGTTGATTCTGATTAGCATAGTATTTTCAAAGTACAAACAATAAGATAATACCACATTTATCACAACATTTAAAACCACAGTTATCGCAACTTTTTTTTAGCAAATACATTTTCTCCTGTAAATTCCTCATGAAGTGTTTTGAAGGGATAATAACATCTCTCCCCAAAAAGAAAAGACAACACATGGTTGGTCGTGGGAAATAGCAGGCTCTAAAATGCTCCCCCATAAAGATGCTGTTTGGCAAAAGGTAACAGAGAAGCAGTAGGTATCCTGTTTTTGATGAAACTACAATAATTACTCAGATAACTGAAGCCATTTTTATATCACTGCAAAGCCAGTCATAATAAAGCCAAGTAAAATTTTTAGTTTTGGTAAAACATCACCATGAAACAAAGACTATAAGATTTTGTTCCCAACTAAAAAACCCACTTTCTCTATGCAATACTATCTCACCCATTCTTGGCCTTCATATCTACATTTCAGAACCAGGTAGACAGTTTTTATAAATAATCCAAGCTGCTTGTAATATGATTAAAGTATACAAGGGGACTTAAAAGGTTCATTAAAAAATGGGATAATTCAAAGGTAAGGTTATTTTGATGAAAATTTTTAAAATTTTTGTAAAAATCACTTTACCTGAGCTTTGTGAAAATCTGTTTCATTAATTAGTTTTTTTAAAGATTTATTTTTATTATTTTTTTATTGGAAAGGCAAATATACAGAGAGGAGAGACAGAGAGGAAGATCTTCCGTCCCATGATTCACTCCCCAAGTGAGCACAACGGGCCGATACTATGCCAATCCGAAGCCAGGAGCCTCTTCCGGGTCTCCCACACGGGTGCAGGGTCCCAAAGCTTTGGGCTGTCCTCGACTGCTTTCCCAGGCCACAGGCAGGGAGCTGGAAGGGAAGCGGGGCTGCCGGGATTAGAACCAGCACCCATATGGGATCCCGGGCGTGCAAGGCGAGGACCTTTAACCACTTGCGCCACTGCGCCGGGCCCTCATTAATTAGTTTTTAATAATTTTAGGAAATGGATTAAAACATTGAAGCTACTTTTTCCCAAAAGAATTCCTTCTTACACATATTTTTATATTAAAATTATGTTCTAAGGAAACATAGTATCTGTACTCAAATCAACAGGTTTTCAAATTGCCAAATATTGGAATAAAAAATAAAGGTGTTTTTTTTTTTTAAATTCCTAAACGTCATCCCAGAGATTCTGATATAATCTGGCCTAAGAACCAGCATTGGTGTTTTCTATGCCCCTTTATGTTCTAACGTGCAACAGTTTAAAAATCTCTAGAGATTTTAATAAAAATTGAGGTTTTTGTTTTATTGTTTACTTTCATTTGAGTGGCAGCTTTTACATATAAGTCTTCTATCCACTGACTCACTTGCTGAATGGCCACAGCTGCCAGTGCTGAGCCAATGTGAAGCCAGGGACAAGGCATCTCTTCTAGGTCTCCCATGTGGGTACAAGGGTCCAAAGACTTGGGCTGGTCTTCACTGCTTTCCAAGCACATGAGCACGGAGCTGGATGGGAAGCAGAGCAGCAGGGATGCAAACCGGTGGCCATATGCGATGTCAATATTGCCTGTGGAAGATTAGTTTGTTGTACCTCCGCTCAGGCTCCCAATTTATTATTTTCATTTCAATGAATATTTTCTTTCTTTGTTTAGAGTTTCCAACTGAATTTTTTTTTCATATAAAAAATCCTGAATTCACATATCCCATTTTACTTTTAATAATCCTCAATGACCACAGTGCATTTTTACACATCTAGTTATTCCATGTTTTATTTTTGTGAATGACTTAGATTTCTTTATCTGAGAATTGTTTTAGTACTGACCACTGCTTCTATTTCCTTAGAAGTAAATTAATCTGGGGCCCAGCATGGTAGCTTAGTGGTTAAAGTCCTCACTTTGCATATGCTGGGACCCTATATGGGCACATGTTCATATCCCAGTTGTTCCACCTCCCTTTCAGCTCTCTGGCCTGGAAAAGCAGTCAAGGATGGGTCAAAGCCTTGGGACCCTGCACCCACATGGGAGACCCAGAAGGGGCCCCTGACTCCTGGCTTCTGACCAGCTCAGCTCCAGCCTTTGTGGCCACTTGGGGAGTAAACCAACAGGTGTAAGATCTTTCCCTCTGTCTCTCCTTCTCTCCATAAATCTGACTTTCCAGTAAAAATGAATAAATTGTTAAAAAGAAATAAATTAATCTTTTACTGATTGCATTGCTTTTTTGTTTCTCTTTGTGCTATGAAAGTTCAGTTTGAAATTCATCCTAAGTTTGATGACCTGCTGCTGCTAGTGCTTTTATTAACTTCTCCATGCATCTCCTCCTACTCTGTTCAAAAATAAACCTTATATTGGTACCTAGAGCTTCTTTTTCTCTTGGAGATATTATATGTTCAGTTCGTTACTGGAAGTATCAGTTCTTGTCTGCCTTTTCCAGACTTCCAGCTTGCTCACAGATCTGTGATATGTGTGTGCTTGAGTGCATGCATTGGGGGTTGGGGGTGGGGTGAGAGAAAAAAGAAACAGTTCGTCTCAGCCATCATTTCACTCAGGCAGAGCATTCAGTCTTTGTCATCCCAAAGAAATAGAGCTGCCTTCTGTTCCAGTATCTAGTGAATATATAGATTTGGACACTCCCCTGACATGTGTTTGTATTACATTACATAGAAATATTTCTTTCTTCCAATGACTTGGTGATGATTTCTTAAAATGCTGTAGTGTTGAAGATAAATGTTTAGCATGTGGGAATGTTCAAGATGGATTAGGGTGATGTTGAGTCTGAATGTCCCCTAGAACTCCTTTGTTGGAAATGTGGCCCTTGAAGCATCAGCGCTCAGAGGGGGGTCACGGAGAAGGCACTGAGGGCACTGCATCACCAGTGAGTGGTTTTGCCATGGAATCGAGGGCTCCTTAGTGCACTTGCTCTGTCTCCTTACATGTTCCCTCTGTCACACATTAGGAAAGTCATCTACAGATATCCACACTTGATGGCTTACTTTCCAATCTACAGAACCATGACCTGTCTATGGTCAAACTAGCCTGAATGTGCCCCATCTCAGGGCCTGGTTAATACTTGGATGGGAGAACCATAATTAAAAAGCAACCCTAACCTTTGTAAGTTACTCATATAGTCACAGTAACAGATCACAGACTTAGACACATGGCAGAGGTGAAGCATTTTTTTTCTTCTCCATTGCCTTCACTAAAACTGGAGTTAAAGCATGGAGAACTGAAACCGATTAGAAAAGATTGGGAATTGATCTTTAGTCTGCATTCACTGAGCTAAAAAACAATCCAGAAGATACTATCAAAGATTTTATTCTTTGAGAAGTTATTTCACTTTCTACTTTGATCCCCATGGGACACAGAGATTCCAATTAACTCTGCTCACTACCTCTGTTTTTTCTCTTTCAACTATAGAAACTTTGCTATCACACTTCCAACTTTTTCCAGCAACATTTAATAGGTTTAAAAACTAAAAACGGTAGATAAAAAGCTTGCCTGTGAAGCAGGGTCTCATGATTGCCATCGACTGCATTAACAATGTCACTGGTACCGGAATAGGATGATATCATCAGTTTAACAATCTCAGTGGCTCCTTGGCTGGCAGCGAAATGAAGGGCTGTGCACTTTGCATTCTGAAAAGTTTGGATACCAGAATCACTATTTACCTCTTGGCTCAAATATACAACACTTTTAGTTGGGATTCTCTTTTCCTCAGGTGAATAAAAGTTTAAAACATCAGATATAAGATGATGAGTTCATTGAAAAGCACTACTAAGAATGTATAGCTAAAAACATGCTTCTTTCAAGTTTGAAAGCCTGTGGCACACAATTCTGGCATCACTTTCTAAATATCATTCATACACCTCTGGGACTATTGGGACTGTGTTAAATTCATTGCTGTCAGCAGTTGGAGTATAATGTGATTCCAGGAGTAGCTCTGATGGCTACTCTTCATAGCTATACTAAAAGGAGGTAGGGACAGGGTCAAGAAGCAATAAAAAATTAAAAAATGAATCTATTCCACCTCCAGAAATCACAGCACATTCAGGTAGGTGTGAAGGGAGAATATGGTCATCTGAAACTTAAGAGGCTGAAGAAAGGAAGACTTGAACCATAAAATTTTAGTCAGAGACGCCAGGCGTGAGGTCAGAACCCAAGCTCAGCCAGATACATATGCTCAGAAACCAATTAAGGGGTCCTTTGGTTCAAAGACAACAGTGCTTCAGAAAGGAACTATAATCATAAACATTAAAGATTAATCTTAAATGTTCGTGGCTAACATTAATTATCTATCATTGCCTTTTGAGCATAGACCTCCATTCATTTACTGGAAGTACAACTCAATATGGTTTTTTTTTTTTTAACTGAGTCTACAGTTGCTTGTGTAGCTCTCAAAAGCATTCATCTGGATTGAAATTTGAGTTCTACTCCTTCACCTCTGCATGAACTGAAGGGAAGATCCCTTTTGTACAATATTCCTTCCCCAAATAAAGCGGCTATAAGACAGCTATAAAGCCTTTGTGGAAATATTCTATGATGATTCTAAAGGAAATGTATCATGGAGAATATAAACAACCACCTCTTTCTGGTCTATGCGTGCACCATTGTCCAGGCACAATTTAATCATCTCCAAATCACCACTCTGAACTGCAAAATGGAGCGGGCTGGCATTTCGAGTGTCCACAAAGTTTATCTGATACTCTTTGCGATATCCAAGTTTTTCACCTTTGGAAGAAGATAATATTTAAGTCAAATACTAAAAATAAACAATATATTTTTTTTTAAAGCACAGACATTTAGACTTACACAAAAGCCTGGGTGTAAATGCCATTAAATGTCTTGGAAAGTAATAGCATCTTCCACAACAAATATTTTTAACATACAGAAAGTAGAAAAACATGTACTCAAGATCAGTGTTGTCCCAAAGCATGTGAAACAATACCCTGTGATGCCAGCATCCCACATGGGCAGCAGTTTCAATCATGGCTGCTCCACTTCTGATGCAATACAACTAAAGAAAACAGCAAAAGATGCTCCAAGTGCTTCAACACCTACAATGTAAGTAACAGACCCAGATGAATTTCCTGGGTCCTGGCTTCCACTTGGCACAGTCCTAGCCATTTAGGTCATGTGGGAAGAAGACCAACTGGTGGAAGATTTTCTTTTTGTTTCTCCCTCTTTCTTTGTAACTCTGCCTTTCAAGTAACAAAAAATCTTTTTTTAAAAAGAAATATGTATATTTTACTCACCATACTCCAGCAATAATTCCAAGCATTTTTTAGCACCTGAAAATGCAGCATGGTGAACAGGGAAACATTTCCATTTGTTTGCTTTGCATATCCTTGCACCCTTTTTTAACTGGAGGAAAAAGTAAAAAGAGAATGAAAAATGCCAATGACAGATTTTTAGCCCAAATCATAATTGTGAAAAGAATTCATATACTTTGCTACGGTCATTTCATTAGTCTGTGCCTATTTTAAAATATGTAGAAAACTTCAGATTGTATGAAATCTTTGCAAGAAGATAATTTTAGAATTAGGATTAGATTGTGAAATGGGAGTACTTTACAGCTTCCAAATAGGAATTAAAATCAAATCACAAAATACCAATCTTGATATCTCAGCAAACTAAAAATCAACTCATTTTCAATAGGATTAGTGATATTTCTGAAAACATCATTTATGGTTACTATATTCATTCTGAATACCTAGTTGGATATGTAAGTGCAGAAGAGTGAAACGAGGCTTCCATCTTGCACATTAAATAAAAGTCAATTCAAAATAGATCAAGGTTATAAACATACCATCTGATACCTTAAATCAGCTAGAAGAAAATATCAGTGAAATTTTGCAAGACACAAGTATAGGCAAAAAATTCTTGGAAAAGATCCCAAAAACATAGGGAATAAAAATTTTTAAAATAGGGCCTGGAACAGTAACCTAGCAGCTAAGGTCCTCATCTTGAACATGCAAGGATATCATATAGGCGCTGGTTCTAATCCCGGAGGCCCCACTTTCCCTCCAGCTCCCTGCTTGTGGCCTGGGAAAGCAGTCAAGGATGACCCAAGGTCTTGGGACCCTGCACCCATGAGGGAAACCTGGAAGAACTCCTGGCTTCGGATTGGCTCAGCTCCAGCCATTGTGTTCACTTGGAGAGTGAATCATAGACAGAAGATCTTCCTTTCTGTCTTTCCTCCTCTTCTCTCTATATCTGACTTTGCAATAAAAATAAAATGAATCTTTAAAAAATGAAAAAAAATTAAAAACAATGAAATGTGATTACATCAAAGCAAACAAGCTTCTATACCATAAAGCAAGCCACCAACAAAGTGAAGAGTCAGTTAACAGAATGTGAGAAAATATTCACAAACTTCAACCAATAGAAAATTAATACATAGAAAATAGAAGGAGCTCAAGAAACGCAACAACATTAAAACTAAGTTTAGTTAAGGAATGGGAAAACCAGGTGGGAAGAAGAGTTTTACCAGGACTGCAGGAGGTGAACACAGGAAAAGAATTGTCTAGCCTGCTGATTTGTTTGATTCAACCAGAAGCATAGACAGAGCAGCAAACCCCAAAAAGGTAGTACAGGAATAGGGTGGATCTCATAGCACAACCCCCACCAGAAACACATCACATGCTACTTTGTGTAGGGAAGAAAAGGCCATGGGACAAGACTGAGCATGCACTAAGCTCAGATTGAACTCATGTCTGGCTCAGTGCATTGCACTGACATGGCAACCTACAGGTTCCACCCAACACAGGTTCAGGTAGCCCCCAGACATAATGGCCAGAGAATCAAAAAATCCACCAGCGGCACACCAGGCACCATTTTGTGCAGTGTGGCAAAGGCTTTGAGACTGGAGGGTACTCACTTCTGGCTCAATGCACTGCATTGGTCCCAGAGGAAAAATAATCCCAACTTTGGCAATATATGGGTCAAAATAGGTCCAGGTAGCTCTCAGACCTAATGGGCAACAAAGTTCTGCCAAGAACAGCACCAACAACAACCTATTTCTTTAGGGCACCTGGTGTCTTCATATTCCTGGGAACTGCTTGAACCAGAAGTAAGAGAAAGGTTGTACAGACAATGATGTAGCCACAGCACAAGATTACAGGAAGTAGAAAGTGGTGAGCCCGGAGCTGGGCTACAGAGACCATGGTGGAAGCCTAACATGAGACTAGGTCTGAAAATCCCTAAAGAGAGTGCACAAGTGAATGCAAAGAACACAGTACCAAACACAATAAGTAAAACTGAACTGCAGACCTATGGGTGACACAACTTAGAAACCTGCCCTCAGGAGAAGAATCTGCTAACCAGAAGTACAATGACCAACACCAAAAGAAGAGATAGATACACAATGACTATTGCTGAAAACTCCACTGCAAAGGAACAAAAGCCTTTGCCAAACCTAGAGTTAACTGAAAAATGCATAGAGAAAATGGGGTATACAGAAGTAAGAAAACTCATTATAAAGTTTCTAGCAGCAACAAGAAGCACATACAAGTTCAAGGAATTTAAGAAATATGTCACGCAGGAAACAGCAACACTGAGACAAAATCAAGCGGAATTATTAGCAATGAAAAGCACAATAGAGCATATTAAAATTTAGTGGAAAGTCTTCATAATAGAATGAATGAGGCAGTAGAGTCTCAGAATTGGAAGATAATTCCTGTCAAATTTGGGAAATGATAAAGAAAAAAAAACTAGAAGAGAAGCTGAGTCAAACTAAGAAAAAGTATTCAAGAATTAAGTGGCACTATTAAAATGCAAATTATAAGAATTCCTGGAGTTCCTGAAGGCACAGAAAGAGTCCAGATTTTTAAAAATGTATTAAATGAGATAATAAAGAAAAACATCCCTAATCTGGAGAAAGAATTGGAAAACAACATCCAGGACGGGCACAGAACTCCCAATATGGTTGACCAAAAGTAATCTTCACAACAACACATGATAATCAAGCTCTCTTCAGTTGAACATATGGAAAATATCCTTAAATGTGCAAGTGAAAAAAATCAGTTGACATCTAGACAAATGACAACCAGACTCACAGCTGACCTCTCACAGGAAACTCCATAAACCAGAAGAGAACGGAGAGACTTATTCTAGATTCTAAAAGGAAAAAAAAATTGTCTGCCTAGAATAATGTACCTAGCAAAGCTTTCCTTTGTCCTTCAAAATTTAAAATTCTTCCACAGTAAAGAAAAACTAAAAGAATCATGTCTTTTCCAGACCTGCCCTACAAATGATACTTAAAGATGTTCTTGACAGAGAAAAGGAATAGCATCTACCAAAATCATAGACGAATGTGAAGAACATCCCAGTAAATAATAACAGAAGACTAAATCAAACAATGAACAACCCATTGCTAAAATGACAGGACCAAATTACCACCTATTCACATTAACCCTGAATGTAAAGTGGCTTAAACCCATCAATCAAACCCCAGATTAGTAGACTAGATCAAAAAGCAAAACCCATATATATATTGCCTACTGGAGACACATTGCACCATCAAAGACCAGAAGAAACTATATCTCATGGATTTTGATGTGTAGGTAGTATATGTTAAAACTTACTCATATATTTAAATATCAGGTAAATATTTTTGCAATTATTTTATTCCATTTTTCCTTCTCTCTGAGATTAGTGTATATGAAAAACTCTGACAAAAATGTATGATATGGCTCAGAAAACATATAAGAGGCTAAGGAACATTGAAAGGGAGATATATACTGGAATTTCAGAAGCATACTTAGGCAGTGTACCACTTGAAGCAGGGTAAACTGCTGAGTCAGCCCTCTGATTGGCTCACTATCGTCAGGGACAAGTCTACAGATCTTGAATCATTAAATCACATCTGTCCTTTCTGAGAGTTCACTGCAAAAATTTCTTTCGATCTTGGGAACAGAAACGGCAGTTATACTTTTGGCTTTTATGTTAAAGGCCCAATCTTCATGCAACTGACTACATTTTCCTTTGCAGTGATCATCTGGAAACTCAGAGTCAAATTCATGACCTGTGTTTATTAAGATAGAGGCTATCAGACTTTTACATTTTATATTTTGACCACAAGTATCGCCTTAATCTTTTCTACCAATATTTTCATTCATTTCAATTTTCTAAGATTTTCTTTTATTCTATATTGTTAGTCTTCTGTAAGCAATCTAAGATCCACTTAGGATTTAAGTGTTGTATACATCTATATAAATATACAGAATACTTTTCTCATCCCACATTCTGTTTTATTTTCCCAAGGTGAGAAACTGAAGGAAGAATGTAAATAATAGTGTTGAATTCATGTAAATACAAACCAGGATTTCCAATGCTTCACTGTTATCTTTAGAGCATGCAGTTATCACAGCTGTGTTTCCATTTTCTCCTTCCAAATCAATATCTGTTCCACTGTAGTCAGTCAAAATCTATAAAAAAAGGTGAGGAACAATCAACAAAGAACCAAAAAACAAGTGTCATATTGTATCAGGTCAAGCTACTGCCTGTGATGCCAGCATCCTACATGAGTTCAAGCCCAGCTGCTCCAGTTCCATAGTAGTTCTAATCCCTGTTGCTCTGCCTCTCATCCAGCTTCATGCTCATGTGCCAGGGGAAGCAACAGAAGATGGCATTCCAAGCTTCTGGCCTTGACCTGGCCATTGTGGTTATTGGCCATTTGGGGAGTGAACCAACAGACAGAAAGTCTCTCTCACTCCCTTTTGCTCGCTCTCTCTCTTTTCCTATCACTTTGCCTTTTTTTTAAATTTATTTTATTTTATTGCAAAGTCAGATATATATAGAGAGAAGGTGAGACAGAGAGGAAGATCTTCTGTCCAATCATTCGCTCCCCAAGTAACCACAATGGCTGGAGTTGTGCCAATCCGAGGAGCCAGGAGTTCTTCCAGGTTTCCCTCATGGGTACAGGGTTCCAAGGCCTTGGGAATTCCTTGACTGCTTTCCCAGGCCACAGGCAAGGAACTGGATGGATAGCGAGGTCTCTGGGATTAGAACCAGTGCCCATATGGGATCCTGGCATGTTCAAGGCAATGACTTTAGCTGGTAGGCCACCAATTATTTTGTCTTTAAAATTATCTAAAATAGTAAAATTAAATCTTTACACAGAAACAAACTTGGAGATTTTCAAATGAGCTGCTGGTCTTTCACAATGTTATATTATCTTGATTGCTTGAGGCCCTGCATTATTCCTCATTTCTCATCCCTCTCCCATATAAATTTTTGCACAGAGGGTACAAAATGCATTCAACAGATGGATGAATACATTTTAGTATTGCATCAATTAAGATGATATTGATTTTTGGAACTGGAAATAAGAAATGCAAATAATTGTTAACATAGTCTCAATTTTCTCACTTATATTATGTGAGATACCTCAACTAATATATTTAAGAACATAAATATCAGGAGCATAAATATCAGAACATGAATATCTTGAAATGTAGAGAAGATAAATAGAAAAGAAGGAGAAGAGAAGAAGGGGAGGAGATTATTGCCACAGGCCATTCTAATCTCCTCCTCAGACTTCCGTGAGGTTTCTCTGCTGAAACAGGTCCTCAGCACTCCCCTTCCCCTTTACTTATTCATTCATCCAGTAGTCAAAATTTACCAGAAAACTGTTGAGGACTGTCTGTGTTCACATTAACAAGACATCGTCCCTGCTTCAAGGATAACCATCCAGTGGGGGAAGAAAAGCACACGAAGGTTTGTTGACAAAATCATGTAGCGCAGTGGATTCAGCAGCTGCCAGCAGACTGGCATTCTATATGAGTGCCAGTTCAAGACCTGGTCACCCCACTTCCATTTCAGCTCTGTGTTAACGTGCTTGTTTCCGTGCAGTGGGTGTGGAAGACAGGAAGGTGTCTGGAGAACTGTTTCCCTGCAGGCAAGGCCACGAGGAATTTTCTGCTGCATGGCAGGGCCCAGTGGATGTCTCTGCACCACCTGAAGGTGGTTCCACCTCCCCTTGAATGGACACCTGACTACCCTGCTGAGAATTCTGTAACATATTTAGGCATTGTTTGCCACTGCAGAGTTGGCTTTTACTATCAATGTGAGCTTGGAAGTTGATGTTGCTGATAAGGTCTTGCAAAAGGGCCTTTTATAATTCATGCTCTCTCAGTTTCTGCTGCCTCCATTTGACCATCCTTAATCTTTGGGTCCCTCATTCTGTGATTAATTTCCTCCCTTAACTGATTCAAGATTAATTTTAGAATGAGGCTTGTAGTAGGGATGTGTTACTGATTGATACGCACTTTTTATTCTATTCTATTGAGAACTTCCTGACCACAGGAAGATAACATCCTGTTTTAAGGTGAAATAAAAGGCAGAATTATCCTGGGAAACACCCACTTCACCATGATATAAAAAGTCTGTGCCAGAGCTTGTGACTGTTTCTGTATAAACAAAGAGGACAGCTTTCTTTCATTGTCCATTATGATCATGAAGTCATAGTGGTATGTTTCTTTTCTCTCTACGCTTACTCCACGAACTCTTCTCGAGTTCCTAACTTGGCTGGAGCTGGACTCTGACATTAATGCTTCTGAGGAGGCAACAGAAGACAGCCCCAAGTGCTTGGATCCACATACACATGTGGGAGACTCAGTAGAAGCACTGGGAACCTGGCTTCAGCCTGACCTGACCCTGGCCACTGCAGTCATTTGAGAAATGACTGTCTTTCAAATAAACAGATCTGTAAAGAAATCTTATGCTCGGAATTAGGACACAGCTATCACAATGAGCAACAGGTTCCCCACTACTTCCATGCTATATTTAAGGGAGCTAAGGTCTCATAAGGGTAAAGGGGTTTTCAACTAAGGATAACCTGGATCTCAAGAATCTCTGTTGAGTTGCAGATAATTAGGCTTTGCTGTGGCTGCATCCAACAGCCAGATCATTATCAATATTCTTTCTGCAGGAAATCGTATATTCCAGATAGACTACCTGGGAAGTGAACTTCTAGAACATGATCCATTTATAAACTGCAATTTTGTGTAAGGAGGCATGTTTGCTTCCTAGTGGGCCTATGAGATCTGAGGCAGAGTTTAAAAATCATGTCTTGACTCTTACCCTTAAGGCATTTATTAGTGTTTCCTTGATTTGAACATACTCATTCTTGAACATTGAAAAACAATGAGAGTTCTCATTAGTAAGTATCCTAGGTCTCCTGAATACTAATCATGGTGACAGGTCATCCAGGCTAACAAAAATAATAAATCCTGATTGCTTCTCTGTTTTCACCAAAACATTCATCACACTCCATCTTCTAGTTATCAGACAAGTCGGGTAAGGCCTGAACTTGAGAACATAAAAATGAGAACAAAGTTCTAAATTCTTGTTTTCATCAGTGAAGTGACATGAACCAAGTTATTGAATTCTCTGTATGCTTCAGTTTACTCTGCTATGAAATGGGGATATAATATTCTTACTAATTTTTTTTCAGTGATTATTTACTATACTAAAACACACAGCTCTTAAAAAAAAAAAGTTTGGTGGATAAGCATTATCTGATAGAGACAGGGCTACCATCATCACTATCACTTGGTGGAGAGCCATGCAAATGTTGTCATCACTGCATTTCAGTTGTCCTGGATGCTTACGATGGCTGTTCTGGACCAGAGAGAACTAGACTGGAAACCTAGACTTTCATGGAAGGCCAGCTTCTGGGAGTCCCTGGTAACCTCACCTTCACCACCTCGTTGTACATGTTCTGCACGGCTATGTGAAGAGGCGCCATCATGTTGTTGTTTTGGAGATTCGGGTTTGCTCCTTTGCTGAGAAGAAACTTAATACTTTCAACTTTGTTTTTTTCTGTGGCCCAATGCAGAGGCGTGTTCCCATAATCATCCATCATATTCACCACTAGAAAAAGATGCCAAAATCTGGATTAGCTTTTTGCTTGGCCTGTGTTCAACAACTCCTGAGTGCCTACTCATAGTGCCAAGTGCTACTACTTCTGGCTGCAACTTTTGTGTGAGAAATAAAAATAGAGCTTGAATTCTGAAGAAATGTTGAGTAGTCAATGTTAGGGAGCATACTGAAGTATGATACTGACTTTATCTGTTAAATTTCTTTCTCTAGCTTATAGAAGGAGGTCCTATTGGTACTATTTGCCTTTATTTGCATGAGTTGGAGAACTGTGGCTAAATATTGAAATTAAATAAAATCAAGACTACACTATTGTAACAAAATGGGAAAAATCTGATGTGGGGGTGGGAGTTTGCGGGGGGAGGGGAATCCCAGCCTACACAAAATTATACCACACAATTCAAAATTCAAAATAAAAATGTATTAAAATAAAAGAACTATGTCAGATACTCTACTAGTTTTCACATGACAAGATTTCACTCAATCATTTAAGAGCCTGCACGGTACCACCACCATGGTTAGTTTACAGAAAGACAAAATGCTGGGGTTGGAGGTGCTAAAAAGTCTTGACATCACATAGCTAGCAAGGTGTTCTGTTAGTTAACACAATCTCCTTCCTACCTGATCTCTTTGTGACAACTGATCCTTCTAACTCATTTCACCCAGCAGTTTCTCACTGGTATACGTGTGTATCACCACTGCCTTAACCACCATCCTCCCCATCATTTCTCTGACTTTCCCTATGCCATGTACTTCTTTATATTGTTGCCCTACTCTTTCTTATCTTGGCTAGCACAGTCTCTGAAAGGATTTTCACACAATTCTGTAATCTCATCTAGTTTCTATGTAGTTAGGACTCTGGACAGATGGACCTTACCTTTTATATATCTAGTTGTTTTCTGCATATTTTCAAATATGGACCTTTTAAACTCGATATGGCCAAATCTCTCTTACTTACCATCTTTTCTCTTTTGTTCTATGACTTGTTTTAGGAAGATGGGTATGCAATTATCAAAATCTGAACTAGGACTTTGTAAGTTGAACTCCATGCTGCTTACTCTTTACCTTTTTATGCCTCTAAACACTGTTGCTACCACATTCAAATACTTCTTAAAAATTCTTTTTCTGCTATTTCAACCTCACAACCCTGAAAGATTTTCATCTCTTTACTGTTAAAATCGATCTTCATTTAGGCTTCTGTTACTAACCCACCTTCCACAATGTCAGCAAAATCGTAAATCGATCTCTCTCTGTCTCTCTCTCTCTCTCTCTCTCTCTCTCACACACACACACACAGACACACACACACACACATACACACACACGCACAGAGCATTTAAGTCTTAGGTCTCTCTGGCATCCACTTGTCTTATCATATATAAATTAGCATTAAATGTCTCAAATAAATCTGGAATATAGGACTTGGATTAGGGGATATAAACTGAAAAAACATTGAAATTATATAAAAGTAAGTACTCTAATACTTTAAGTATTCTTCTAGGTTCCACATGCCCACTATTTCATTCAAGCCTCCAAGAACACGCATGTAAACATGACTAATTTTTCAAAAAGATATAGAATCGAATGTATTCAATAATTATCAGTTTAAATGTAGAACAGCCTCATGAAATAGTATAAAAGAATTCACTAAAAGTCCATGAATTTTTATAATTTATCTGATAATTTCATGAAAGCTATTGGTTGTTGTGAAATATCCTACATCTTTGTACTAGTTATTTTCAGTGAAAAACATTAAGACAAAGCCTTTTGTAGGGAAACTTACTATCTTCAATGAAATAGATAGGCCCTTTGTAATCAGATACTAATCAATCCTATAGAATCACTTTACGCTGCTCTGCTCAATGTAACAAAAGGGATGGTGGACTTCCAAAGCTCTCATTGCACGAGTGTGTTACCTTCAAAAGAGGAATCGGTGATGATCATCTCCATCAGCTCCACTTGCCCTTCTGCTGCTGCATGGTGCAGGGGGGAGTCATTCTCATCCTGTTTGCTTAATTTTCTTCGGTTCTTAATAAACTTTTGGAATCCACCAGCATCTCCTCCAAACACCACCTGAAAGTAACACATAGAAAGAAGACCGTCACCTTCAAGTAGATGTTGCAATTCAGTGGCTTAAGTCACTGCAAGCAAATCCAGCATATGTATCAGGGTGCCAGCTCAACTCTCAGGTTCTCTGCTTTATCAAACTTCTTGCTAATGCAACTGGAAAGTAAGTGAATGGTGTCCCAGGTATTTGAGGTCCAAACGTTCATGTGGGAGACCCAGGTAGACTTCCTGATTCCTCAGTTGGCCTGGATTCAGCCTGGTGCAGGTTTTGATGTTGCAACCATTTAGGAAGAAACCAGTGCATATAATACCCCTCTCTCTCTCTCTCTTTCCCATATTCCCATTTAATCTCTTCTTCCCTTTCCTGTTTCCCTATCCCTCATCATAATTTTTGCCATTGAAAAAAAAAATTTTTGTAAAAAGTACCTCAAACAAGGTTATACAAAACTCACCATTTTATTCAGTTTATAGCTCTGAACAAATTTATTACCAGGGCCAACACTGTGGCACAGAAGGTTAAATCTCAGCATACATGATTAACATGTCATATTAAGCGCCAGTTCAACTCCCAGCCTAGTTCTGATCCAGTTGTCTGCTAATGAACTTGGGAAAGGAGCAGAAGACAGCCCAAATAATTGGTTACTTGCCACCCACATGAGAGACCTGGGTGGAAGCCCAAGTTCCTGGTTTTGATGTAGTCAAATTCCAGTCATTGTAGACACTATGAAATGAACTAGTATGTGGAAGACTTCCCTCTCTATCTATCTACATCTCCCTCTCTCTGCAAATCTATCTTTCAAATAAATGAAAAAAACTTTTAAAAAGTTTATTATTGGGCCCAGTGCGATAGCATAGTGGTTAAAGTCCCCACCTTTGCATGCCTGGGATCCCATATGGGCGCTAGTTCTAATCCATGCAGCCCCACTTCCCATCCAGCTCCCTGCTTGTGGCCTGGGAAAGCAGTTGAGAACAGCCCAAAGCCTTGGGACCCTGCACCTGTGTGGGAGAACTGGAATAGCTCCTGGCTCCTAGCTTCAGATTGGCTTGGATCCAGCTGTTGTGGCCACTTGAGGAGTGAACCATAGGACGGAAGATCTTCCTCTCTGTCTCTCCTCTCTGTATATCCACCTTTCCAATAAAGATAAATAAATCTTTCTTAAAAAGTTTACTTATTATCAGGCCTGGCACAGTAGCCTAGGGGCTAAAGTCCTTGCCTTGTACACATTGGGATCCTATATGGGCACCTGTTCTAATCCCCGGAAGTCCTGCTTCCCATCAAGCTCCCTGCTTGTGGCCTAGGAAAGCAGTTGAGGATGGCCCAAAGCCTGGGACCCTTCACTCATGTGTGAGACCCAGAAGAAGTTCCAGACTCCTGGGTTCAGATCAGCTCTGCTTTTGCTCTTGCTCTTGCAGCTGCTTGGGAAGCGAACAGCAGATGAAAGATCTTCTTCTCTGTCTCTCTTACTCTCTGTATACCTGATTTTCCAATAAAAATAAATAGATCTTTTTAAAAAGTTAATTATTATCTATATTTACCTCTATAAATATATTGATCTCATAATTTGCATGAAGGTTGCCTTACACAAAAGACAACATATGACATTGGTTCTTTTGGGGTCAACTTATTTCATTGAGCATAATAGTACCTAGTTGGAACCATCTGGTTGCAAATAGTAGAATGTCATTCCTTTCAATGGCTGAGTAGTATTTCATGGAGTAAACGTAGCACAGTTTCTTTCGTCATCTATAGGAACTGTGTAATAGAGTCTGTCATGTTGGGATGAGAGGATACAATGCACTATGCATCTCTAATTCCAAATCAAAGATGGACTCCCATTGAAACCTGACAACAGGATGCTGAAAACTGCCATTCTCCATACCTACCATGTCATGATACACTTAAATAGCAGAACAACGGACTTCTTATTATTTTCTGAAGGACTAAATTATTGTAATAAGATAGGGACCATCAATGGTGCAAGTGGGTAGAGGAAGTCCCAGAGCCTTTGGAGCTGTATCATAAAATTAATTCATTCATTTAAAAGGTTCGTTATCCAAAATAACTTCTCATGTTTACAGTATGATAAAATGTATTTTGAAGAACAAAAAGTGTTAAACAGTCATAAAAACTTATTCAACCATTAAGAAGCATTTTAGTTAAAGATTTCGATATTCTGGTCACACTGTGTTGTAGAAGAAATAAAGGTGTTAGAAAACTTCTCAAGTAAACTTAAGGGTTACAATCTGAGAAACAAGCAAAAATATAGAGTAATTTGCTTTCTTCGGAAAACTGTACTTAAATACATGAGGGGCTTGGGTCAGATGAATAGGTTTAGGTAAATGTAAAATCATGAAATCTAAATTACTAACCCTCTGTGGCTTTCGTGTCTAACAGTCAGTCCCCACTCACTCTTTCCATATACACTAAAGCTTGCATCCCTGTGAAACATTGTTGTGTAACTCGCTTAGGAATCTACAACAGCTGCCCACTCACCCCAGCAATGAGTAGTAATCCCTCTTCTGGCTACTGCACCAGAGCAAGCTGGGGAAGAATGCACACCCCCTTGCTCTCTTCACACAGGAAATGCTAGCACAATAGTGCTCATGTTTAAGGCCAACTGGCAGGCCACGGCAGTTTGAATTACCAACCCAAAGATATGCTCAATTTGGCAAAGTAAGAATTTGAACACCAGGTACATGAAATATATACCTTTTTGGCAGCATGATAAATGCTAAAAATCAATGTGCAGAAGCAGAAGCTAACGTTAAACACCCTTATGGGAGCTATACAAAAGCAGATACTATAAATCGTTAGAACAGACATCACAGATGGGATTCAGTGCCTTTTAGCCATCAGCTGCTGTCCCTAGCTTGTAACACCACATAACAGCTCATGTCAACTGGCCTCAGCACTAGCATGAAAGCTTCTGTGGCTACCTCACTTTTCTCTAACGCTTTCTTCTTTTCTTTCTGCCCTTGGTGGCTTTTGCAAAGTGGGGACTGAAAATGACTTGTCACAGTTGACATTGTGTTTTCTCCTCTTAAAATCCTGAAGTGGCAGTGTTGACTGTTTTGGATTCATCACCACAAAACATGAAAAAATGCTAAATAAGACTTTTTCTTTAAAAGCTCATAGTCCAAATAGAATTACTAAATATTAATCAAAACTTTAAACATTTCTTTAATGTGATTAAACTGTAGTAAACTTTTGCAAAAATCTTCATAAGCTTGACTGCATTATCCTTCTTTGTATTGCTTAATTTTATAAACATATGAATCAAAAGGTGTATAAAGTTCTTTAAAATTACTACTGAACCTCTTGTTATTGTTATTAGGTCACCAATTATTTACCCAATGATTTTATTGGTCAATGATTTAGTGTCCATTTTATTTAGAAAATTAGGAATTTGTAAACTTGTTAGAGTATTACTTAAACATACATCAATTAAATGATGTGATTTGTATTCTAAGTTGCTTCCAAAGTTGAAAGTGGTTATGTATTAACAATAAGTGTAAATAACAACCCTATTCTATTAATATTTTTACACTATATATAATGTACATAGATCATGTACCAGAAATGACATTGTTAGTTGTTCTAATAATTGGCCACCAAAGACAAAGTTGAAGCCAAAGCTGAACTGCAGATTTTGGCCTCATATAGATTGACCCCAAATGCTCACAAATACTGAATCTGCACACCGATGGCCTTCTCTGGAAGCCATACTGTATTGCTGTATTCAGGCCATCCTTTGAACTCCATATGACTCACAGGAAGTACACTTCCTTCCCACTTCCTTCTCTTGTTCCCTCCCCACCCAGTTTCCATTAGCCCTCCTCAATCATGCCTCCTGCAGGAGACCCTCCTAATGACTATTTGCCATTCTCCAATCCAACCTTCTGTCTTGGGATCCCACTCCAGGATGTCCAAAGACAAGGAATGTATGGCTATCTCACACTACTGACAGTTACTGGAAAATACTCTGTATTTTTTCATGATTATAATTATACTCTACTTTGATTTCTAATATGGTAAATATTTTTGGCTAGAACTGATATAAGAATGTACTATTCAGGATCCTCAGTACTATTTCAGCTCAAAGGAGTTCTTACTCCAAAATGTTTGAGAGCATCTCATTAATCCTACATGGCATACACTGACTGTGTGACTACTCAGTGTGTTACTGCTCATCTATATAATGTCTCTCAGTGATAATTTATTGCATATAAATAACTTTGCAGAGTAAGAAAAAGGGAAAGAAGGAAGGGAAGAAATGAGAGAGGATGGGATAAAAAACTAGGATCTATACAAAACCAACAGGCGAGATTACATGAACTTCTTCACACACATTAGCAGTTCTCTGCATTAATTGGTGAATTTTAATGTCCTAGATGCTTTAAAAAAATCCATGCAACATATATGAAACATTAATGGAAACTCATTCCAATCATAAGAAGATTTATAGACTAAAAATTTTTCTTAGTCTTCTTCCATATTTCAGTTATGTGACCAAGAAGCATATTTGTCTGAAATTTTCCAAAATGTATCTTACTAAATATGTCATCTCATGGGCCATAAGAAAAATATTGTACAAGATAACAGATTTTCATGGAGCTCACTGTAAAGTGCTACATCCTTAAGATGCTGAAATTAGGGCTCGGCACGATGGCCTAGCAGCTAAAGTCCTTGCCTTGAGCATGCTGGGATCCCATATGGGCACTGGTTCTAATCCCAGCAGTTCCACTTCCCATCCAGCTCCCTGTTTGTGGCCTGGAAAAGCGGTCAAGGATGTCCCAAAGCCTTGGGATCCTGCACCCATGTGGGAGACCTGAAGGAAGTTCCTGGCTCCTGGCTTTAGATCGGCACAGCACCGGCCATTGCACTCTCTTGGGGAGTGAACCATCAGACAGAAGATCTTCCTCTCTGTCTCTCCTCCTCTCTGTATATCTGACTTTGCAATAAAAATAAATAAATCTTTGAAAAAATGCTGAAATTAATTCTACCTTCAATTTTGGCTGGTCAACATTTGCTATATGATAATATTTGTATCAAAACTCCAATTTCTTTTTAAAGTGAACAGGTGTCTCTCATTACTGAAAAGACAAGCCATCTTTAACATATTTTAATATGGGTAACAACGAACTTAGCATATTATGGTTCATTCCGTAAATATCAACTTGAAACATATAAAATTTGAATTCTTAAAATTTTGATCTTCAGTGTTTATGTCTGTTAACATAGAATAATGGCTAAGAAATTAATCTTTTATGGTCACCTCACAAATTAAAATATGTAACTCTTCAACTGAAAGACTGAATTCTGTATGAAGTATATGATTTTACCGACTTCAGGTTATTACAGTGAGCACGCAAGCTTTTCCAAATGTATATATCTTTGGTATTATATTGAAACAAGAGCTTCTTGCACAAATAGGCTCATTTTTTTTTTCAATATTTTGTCTTGTCAAAGACATCATTTACCTTAATCCCTTTGGAATTGTATTCTCACTTTCATTTTACATACGCACCAAATGATAATAACAGGATTATACTATCTACCCCAGGCTTATACTATCTACCCATCAGTTGATGGGCCTGTTGAACAATGTGCTCTCAACACAAACTCAATTCCTCACCTTAAAGAGTACATAAAGTTCAGATGCCCATAATATACTGAAGTCACAACAAAGCACTGTCTATACATTCCACATGAATACATAAGACATGCTAGATAGTCTCAATTCAGTACTTGATGTGTGATCAGACTTTGCAGACATTTCTTTAAAACATCTACCATTTAGACAAATTATGATATATTTATTCAATATAGTATCCTATAGTCACAGCAATATTTCACATTGTTTTAGATTCTGAACTATAATTGGATTGGGAATGCAGTAAACTAGATCACTTTTGGAAAAGCAAATTTACAAACCTTTAAAATACAGATATACAGTGCAATTGTTTTTAAATTGCTTTAATGAAATACGCATAAACAATGGTAGAATTTAAAAAAAGAAAGTGTGGTCAGAGATTGTAACAAATGAAAAGTTAAATGCCAAAGTATCATCTCTGCTAACTAATCTAAAAATTCTAAAGTCTAAATTAAAGATATAAATTTTCTATGTTTCTCATATTTTGTTGGCATTTCTGAGACATTGTGTATTTGTTTCTGTGTATTTTCTGAAGCAAATACATACCATATCTTTAAATCAGGAAGACACCAAGAAAGCCCTACAGTTCCAAACTCTGCAAATGTTATAGGTGCTGCTTTTTAATGATTTCAGCTCCTGGGGATTTTATGGAATGACCAGGAATTACTTTAGTTTAAAATGAAATAACAACTGACTTCCTTAGTCTAGAAATCCTTACGTAGTTTTTAAAAGCTTTGCACAACTGAAATGACTCTACATGTCTTAGGCAATAAAAGTAAAAGCAAATAAACAAAAGCATGGAGAAAAATGAGTCTGGTGTAGAAATACTTCTGTAAATATCTCCATAAAGTAAAAACACTTGGGTGATTTTTGAAATTTCAAAATTTCTTCTATCTCATACTAATTCCAAAGGCATTATGTTAGCTCAGTGCATGACTTGGTAAGCCACACAGCCCCAAGTAACTTCCTTACATCAGAGAGGGGCCAAAGTCCATGTTCATACTCGATGTGCAAAATTTTACCTCAGAAAGTCGATTTGTTTTGTTGGTGGACAAGACTGGTAACGGGGCTCATCTGTGCAATATTTCTGAATAGCAATTTGCCAATTCCACGTAAATTTGTATCTATCTCTTGATTCTGATTCAATAGCGAAATCACAGGCATATTCACAGACACAGTCACATGTAGAACAGCAAAAGAAAACAAAGCCAAAATCCACCTAAGTGTCTACCAGTGCAGGGTGGCTAGATAAATCATGATAAATCACATAAAGTTACAATAAAGACCAAGATAAATGTCCAAATGCTAATATGAAAAGTATTTTTGAGATACATTTCAAGCATAAATCAATGTTCTTCTCCTTTGCACTTTCATATTTTTGTATACAAAAAAGGGTGAATATCTGTACACTCATCCAGCATTTTTCCTTTGAATGTTCCAGAAGGACTGGTAGCACAGTTTTGAGGTGGAAAAGGATTGGGATGGAGATTTAGAGAGCCAATTTCATTGATATGTTAGAGCTTAAAGAGAGATTCTTTCTCCAGCTGACACTCAGAAGAAATCCAATGGAGGTTTTTTGAGTTCAGGGCAATCTTTGACTCTTAAACTTAGGACAATACCAGCCGTGGGGTGCTAAGTTAAGAAGGTGCTGGGAAACTCTGAATGTGAAGGGGTGGAAATCCCATATCCCAGCCCTCAGCATCTCCAGGAAGCCACTCACCCACCCATCTTCAACAGCTCTCCTCGTCCAGTCTTGCCTGCTGCTCCTATTCCTGGAAGAATTCACCAGCCCTGCCTGTTTCAAGGGAATACTCCCGGCTTGCTTCATTTGGAGGAGGTGTTTGTTCCTACTGCGTTTGACAAAGATGATCAGCAGTAGCACACCTCTAGAACAGCAACAGACAGCCCCCACCTCCCACCCCGCCACCGCATCCAGACCTTTTGCCAGGGAGAATTAAGTGAAATATACACTGGACATACTACAAACACACCCTGCTTTTACAGTTGCCTGATTCTACTGAATGCCAAACGCACTACTAGGATAGGTATCCCCTGACTGCAACCCATATACAGGCGAGAAGAGGTTGAAGAAACAAACACAAATGTGTTGGCTGGTTGCAAGTTCTGTCCCCCAGGCTCTCCAACTCTGTCCTTAGGTACCATGCATATATCCCGAGACAGCGCCCCATCGTGCATGCTGGCTTCCTGTCCTCCTAGGAGGCCTTCCCTGACTTTGGAACCTTTCCTGTTCCCACCCCAGACCTCAGATTGCCCAAGGTACCTCAAAGTTTTTGAAGTCGTCCACGCCGTTCTCCACGCCATGGTAGTCAACAACCGGCGGCGGCTTCTTCTCCCCAGCATGCAGCATCTTTCTCAGGCTGCGCTTCATTGATCCCACCTGGGACACCACCTGGTACAGGTGTTCCTCACCTGAGAGTGCACCTGTGGGAGAAAGCAAGGTCAGTGGCGCCGACTGCTGGCTACCTGCGCGCCGGGTACCCAACGGAACTGATCTCTAAGGTCCCGCGAGTTGCCTATGCAGAGAAACTATGCCGCTTGCCGGAGAAAACTTCTCCCAAGAAGTTTGAGGGCTTGGACTGCTTGCAACGCAAGACGCTGGCGAGTACAGGGAGGAGACAAACCAGGCGGCTCTTTTACAAAGGCAAGGGGGCGGCGACGGCCAGACTGCCGGGCCTCGCCCCTTTGCGTGGACAGCTCGGCGGCGAGCGGCTGCCAGCCAGCTGCAGCCAGGAACGCCTGGGGCCTGTTAGATTCCAGTTACATTTCAGCCTGTTACATTTCCAAACACCAGGAGCCCCATCGTCCTATCTTCCTACAGCTCTCTCTCTTTCTCTGTTGGGAGAGGGGAAAGGAGAGAGAGAACTGAGATTTTTAGTTATTTGTTTAACCATCGCAAGCTGTTAACCTGCTGTTCCCATCCTATTTTCTTTGGGGGTCCGCTTGATTAGGAAATAAAGCAAAACTTCTGTTTCCAGACGTTTTGGAAATATGGCTAAATCCTAGGTCTGGCTTGTAGAAGCAGGATTGAGCCCTTTAAATCTCAGGTCCCATAGCTTGTGGGTAGCCGTATTGGTCCCACTTGCTGTGGTGTTCAGGACTGGTTAATAGATATGACAAGTAAAACATAAGCGACATTGATAGCTCTAAGCTTGTGTGCCCTCGGTTTTGTTTGAGGGACTTATCTCCAAAGACCTGGGCTGCGTTAGTGGATCGATCGCACAGGTGTAAATTGTGTGGAAGGAAGAGTGTTGGTTCTCCATGCGTGAGGCGAGTTCTACATTTATGCACAGATAAGAGAGCTTCCAAAACGGCTGCCCCTGTGTTTAGGTCACAATGTTAGCGAGTAAAAACAGAACAGAGCTGGCTTTTAGCCTATAGCTTACGACACCACATCCCATGTGGGGGTACTGGGTTTGTTTCCCAGTTCCTGACCCCAGCTTGTTTAATAAAGACCGTGGGAGGCAGCAGTGATGGCTTCAGTGAATGGGCTCCTGGTACCCATTCTGGGGACCCGAGTTAAACATCCTCCGTTGCAGGCGTTTGTGAAGTAAAGAAGCCAATGAAAACTTTCTTACTACCAGCCCCTAACGTAAGCACTGTTTTTAAAAGAAACAGAATCACCTAAAACTTCTTTCCAAACCACACTACTACACATGAGGCAACCCTTAGCTCTGGTAATCTTCCTTTGACAACTAATCTTTTAGGTCCTAGATTATCACATTCACCTGGTTGTATCCAACACAAGCCCAGTATGGATCCAAGACCATACTGAGGTAGACTCTATAATAAAATTTGGGGACTGGATTTGCGTGTAGTTTAGAGGTAAGTAGGATGGCCATGAATTGAGGAATTAAGTTCCCATCAGTTCTATCCTTTGAATGAATCATCGATTATCAGTGCTTAAATGTGGCTTGCTGAAACTCTGGTGAAGGACACAGATGTTCAGTTCCACCTCACTATTTGCACAGTTGTCCCACATATGTCCAGTTTAGGGGAATACAGGGAAAGTGGCTGCAGACCTTGCTATGCCAGAGCTGAGTGGGTGACATAGAAAATGTTCCACTTCCCATCTCCCTCCCCTGCTTGTGACCTGAGAAAGCAGTGGAGCTTGATTCCAAACCTTGGGACTCTATCCATTTGAGAGACCCAGAGGAGCCTCCTGGCTCAACTCTGGCCATTGCAGCCACTTGTGGAGTGAAACAATGGGTAGAAGATCTTTCTGTCTCTCTCCTTTTCTCTATTAACCTGCCTTTCCAAAAAAAAAAAAATTAAATAAATAAATAATAAACAAATCTGCATTTGAAGAAAATGAAAAAATATCCAATGAAAGAATTCGGGGATGAGTAAAAGAGAGTGACTTTCATTGAGCCCTTGCTCTATGCCAAGCATTTTGGGCACACTAGGACTATGCTTTTACAACCTTTTCTTTGCTTATTTGGCAGGAGGGATGGGGAAGAGAAAGAGAGCACACTCACTACTATCTTCTGGTTCACCTTCCAAATGCCAGCAATCTCCTATATAGTGCCAGGCCATATCTGAAGTCTCAACCTTGAAGCACTGCTGCGGAGAGGGACTCAGCTGCTTGAGCCATCACCACTGCCTCCCAGGAGCTAGAAAGAAGATGGATTTAGAAGTAGAGTCACAACCTGATCCAGGGCACTCGGATATAGGACGCGGGTATCCCAACCTGCAGCTTACACATCCTGCTAGACATCTGCTTATTGTCCACCTTGTTAAAAGGAAGCACCTTGTGGGAAGATTAAGAATTTGTTATTGTGAGTTTGACCAATTATAGCTGAAAAAGATCAGAAGACAGAATAAAGAGAAGGCGCAAATGGTTAATTTTTGGAAGCTGAAGCAGTGGCTGTGTCATGGTAACCAACATCAGACAGAAACGTATGTTGACCTTCAGAAGGGAACTCAGTCCTGAAGGTGGACTTGGAGGATAGTAACTTGAGGCCAGTAGTCCTCCTTTGTAAAATGCCCTATTGTCAGTGATCAACTTCTAATGTCTACAGAATGTTCTCTGTCTCCTTGCTCTGGCATCACATTTGCAAGGAAGGATTACTGTAATTATTCCTGAATGTTTGATACAATCCACTAGAATAACTGTTAAAGCTGGACCTTTTGTTTTTCTTTCCGGCAAGTCATTGAATTATTAATTGAATTTAGTTAGTTTTGTAAAACTTTTGATTTTATAATTTTACTTGAGCTAAATGTTGGTATTTCGTGTTTTTGATGTGTTTGTCTATTTAATTATTGTTAATTTGTTCACATGGAGTTGTTCATAAGGTTTCCTTACAATCCATTACATTTCCATGTTCTGTTAGAGCATCTCCTTTGTTATTTCTGATTTTTATAACTTGTGTCATATTTCTTATAAATATTGCTTTATCAATTTTATTAGTTTTCCAAAGAGCCAACTTTCTATTTTACTGATTTATCTCCATTGCTGATACTTTTGGTATCAAGTGTTTGCAATGATATTTCTTTCAGATTTTTTATTCCAATTACTTTGGATTGGATCTGGCCTCTTTCTGAAGCCGAACATTAGGTTACCAGTGTTAGATATTTTTCTTTACCTGATATAATCATTAAAAGCTGCAAAATGCTACAATGTTTTACATTAGCTGCATACCATAAAATTGTGGTTTATTCTTTGACTCAACAATTTACTTTTGGAAGTGTGTTGTTTAACTTGCCAGTATGTGAATTTTCCAAATTCCTTTTTGTTGTTGGTTTCCTGTCTAATCAGATTGCGTTCAGAAAACATACTTTGTATACCATCAATTCCTATAAATTTAAATGTAGACATGCTGAATTTTGTTTTTTGTCTAGTGCATGATTCATCTTGGAAATTGTTTTATATACAATTGAAACAAATATAAATTCTGTTATTGTTTGATAAAGTTTTAGAATACGCATAGATCCACTAGCTTAAAGGTGTTCAAGGTTCTATATTTTTAATGATTTACTATTTTGTTATTACCTACAGAGAGAGGAGTGTTAAAACCTCCAATTACAGTGGTTCAAGGATCTATTTCTTCTCACCTTTCTATTAGGTTTGCTTGCTGGGTGAGCTAGTGGTTTCTGTTCTTAGGTACATACATATTTGTACTAACTGTCATCCCATTTATTCTTTCACTTCTATACAGTTTTTTGTCTTCATGAATATTTACTGATCTGAATCCTATTTTGTCTTATCTAATACCTCAGTCCACATATCTTTACTATTTATAAGGAAAATGTCTTCATTTTTAATTGATTTGTGACTTTAAAGTGACTTCTCATAAATTAAGTTATATCTTACTCTTTTATTAGTATGACAGTCTCCCCCATTTTGCTTGCAGTATTTTGCCACTGAAACATTAATATTTATTGTAATTGATGTGGAGATGATGTTTTATCATTTTTATTTTGTTACATACCTTCTTACATTAGTGTTCCTTCTTTGGCAGTCAATTTTTTTTATCAGACTATTTAATTAATTGGAAGACTTTTTTAGATGTTTTAAAGTAACTTTTAAAGTTTTGTTATTGCAATGTTTATGTTTCACTTGTCAAAATCCACTTTTGGGCCAAAACGTACTTAATTCCAATAAACTACAGCAGCTGTCAAATATATACATTTCCAGAGTCCTCATCTTATGTTATTATTGCCATTGGGATGCATTTACATAAATATATTACATCTATGCATGATACACACTCTCTATATAGTTATTGCTATACATTTTTTAATATTTTAAATGAAAAAGGGAAAATAGACATACAGCATTTGACATCTACTGATACATTTACCATTACTAGTGCTCCACATTTCTTCTCAAATATCTGCTTTGCTTTTGATGTTGTTTCCTTTCAATCTGCAGAATTTTCTTCAGAGTTTCTTGCAAGGTGGCTCTGTTTGAAAAAAAAAAAACATTAAACTATTTGTTGAGATCATTTCTGTATGCTTGTGACCACTGACTTTTGTGTTCGGGGCTGCCCTGCCATTCTGCTCACTGTAAAAATCTTTTACCTGTGACTTGTCTTGCTTTTAATAACTCTGTGGGTGTGCTCCTACCCACTTCGTGCTTCTCTGGCATTCTAGAGTTGTTCTGGCCTATTACTCAAAGTCTATTTTACCACCCTATTTTGGAATGAATCTCTCTTTACAAACAAATTTATTTGTGTCTATTTTGTAGGGTTTCAGATAGGGTGAAAAGGGAAGTTAATATGCCATGGGATTCTACTAGTCTTCAAACCATGCCCTGCATTGGATGATAACTGAGACTCAGAAGGAAAATTCTAATTAATTTTTATATGTGTCAAAATAAATCACAGACATACAACCCCACTGTGACAGCCACCTATAATACGCTTTTTT